AACCCTTACTACACTGAAGATATGAGTGTTACAGTTAAAATTGATGGTCATTATTGAACAGAAACGGTTCATTGACACATAGTTGAAGAAAGAAATTAAAAAGGGTAATAAATGTGGTCTGTGGAGTGGTTTATATGTGTTTATGTTACAGTGTACGCGTGCGCGCGCGCGCGCGTACTTAACCATCTGTAGGCCAACATATTTAGTTTATGCTTAATTTCTTTATATATTTTGTCACCACTAGAGTGCCCAATACTTTTAGTGAAGGTGTAATGTAAAACGGTTAACCACCAACTGTGGTATATCAAAAAAACCCCAAAAGTGTACGCGTGCGCGCGCGCGCGTACTTAACCACCTGGAATGGCACAGCATTGAGATATCACCGTAATTCCAAAAGCAGAGTACACCATCCAGGTGCCCAAAACTTTTGGCTATGGTCCCAATACCATAAAACCTTAGATGTGGCCATAATGTGGTTAAAACATGTTGATTTTGGACCTTCGGTCAACAGAAGCCATCACAAATTAACCATTATTCAGCACAATCTGACCTTTTGGTGCCTTATTTTGTTTTGATATTTGATTATGAGAGATAGCTGAAGGATAATAAGTGATTTTAAAGATAATGCAACAAAATGTGTGGCCGTATGGCGGTTAAAACGACCAAAAACACTGATTTTGGTCAATTTTAGACCTTTATTAACCATGATGGACGCAACATAGGACTCAGCAATGTTTCTGGTCATATAAATGAGCAGGTAGTTATATCTAGATAATGTAGCATGGCCAGCTATAGCTTTACAAAGCTAATATGTGCTCTAAAAATGGTTAATTAGTGCAAATATAGGGTATTTTCGAGACATTTTAACCACCTTAGCTGCACATTGATCGGAATGCATGAACTTGGGGTCAATTGTGCATTTGCGAACAAATATACACTCATTTGGATAGCAAAGCATTATCTGAAGTTCATATTGTGGTTAATTTTCACTTTAATAGATGCCTTGTTCAACAGCCTAGCAAGTAATATAGCCCTTTTAACCACTTTTATGACAACATTTCTTGATAACTTTTATCAAGACCCTTCAAATGTCCTTTGTTGACCATAAAATGTTGACTAAAATCATTAATAATGTTTTTATTGGTGGTTAACAACAAATTTTGACATTTTAACCATCTTTTTAGCACTTTTTACGAATATTAACCACCTCAAATCAACCATACTATTAAATTGCACATTTGTGATAAAAAATTATCATCCATGCACAAATGAACAACCAACACTATACATCTATAATCAGAGCAATATTTATAGCTCACCGTTCATCTTCAATTTAACCACCATTAGGACCACAAAATGCCCCCCATGAGGTTTGAAAACTTTTGTAATAGTTGCACCATGATATGATCTCAATATAATGACTATTCAGTTCATAATATCATATCTCAAAATGGTGGTTAACCCTAAAACTGGTATTTTAACCACCATAGTGGCCACATAGATGACCCATTAACCACAATTATTCAACATAACCGTACTGCAGTGTTTTGTGCACCAGAAAAACATCACTCCAACATTGAGATTAACCACAATGAGCTGCAACATAATGTTGAAGTCAACATACTCAAATTGTGTGAAAAAAGTCAATGTCCACCAAGTTTCCCCAGATTTGCTGCTATTGCTGTACAGGAATGTATATTTTATAATTATAATGTACTTTACTACAGGAATGTATAGATCTGCATATATAACTAATGTTATAGCCCCAGAAAGAACCTTAATAATTACATAAGTTTTATAAAGTCAGGGTTTGAAAAGAAAACCTTTATTTCATGTAGCTCCATTTCGGTTTCCTTAATTTAAATTATATATTACTGTAGTAGTACTGTAGTAGTACTGTAGTAGTACTGTAGTAGTACTGTAGTAGTACTGTAGTAGTACTGTAGTAGTACTGTACACATAGTACTGTAGTAGTACTGTGGTAGTACTGTGGTAGTACTGTGGTAGTACTGTGGTAGTACTGTAGTAGTACTATACTGTAGTAGTACTGTAGTAGTACTGTAGTAGTACTGTAGTAGTACTGTAGTAGTACTGTAGTAGTACTGTAGTAGTACTGTGGTAGTACTGTAGTAGTACTGTAGTAGTACTGTAGTAGTACTGTAGTACTTTAGTATTTTAGTATGGGTGAAGTACCAGTAATACTGTATTTTAGTAGAGACAAAATCATAAAAATCCAAAACCGTAAAAGGCATTATAGTTGAAATATTACTTCGGCGTTTTATGTAATGTAGCAGTAGTTGTCCCCAATAAAAACACATCGCAACGCTGAAATGGTAAGATTGTTCGTCAAGTTGATTAATTTATCAAGTCGGCAGATGGTAGGGCGGTTAAATATAATCAAATTTTAACCGACATGATTTGACACCTCAGGTGCGATTCTTTATACAAAATCTTACTCTAATTTCCTAAAGATCTGCTACAATGTTTTTCAATTGTTTTCTACATTTAATTTAAAAGCGCAGTCTTACGATTTCTTCAACCATCATATTTCTCAAACTCTAAAATGTACCTGTTGGTTTTACAGCTGCTTTGCTGCGTAACAGCAGGCCATATCGACTACAGTGGCGTCCTGAACAGCTCCACTAAACTTCAGTATCTGTTTAAAGACTACTCCACACACTTTAACCTAAACCAGTTTCCTACCAGCGAGCTAGGATTGAGAGTCAGACTGTTCCGGAGGGAACTGCAGGATATATCACGTGACAACAAGTTGAACCGATGGGGGGCTGATTTAAATCAGTTCTCTGTGCTGACTTCAGAGGAGAAATCACAATATTTGGGTATGAACATATCTTCTGTTCTGCTGCATTCTCTTTCTACCACGGAGAACACAAACCAGCTCCAACTTTCTGAAGACGGAGCTGAAATGAAGGACTGGAGAAGTGGGGACCTGGTGACAGGAGTCAAACACCAGGGTAAATGCGGGAGTTGCTGGAGCTATGCTGCTGTTGGACCCATGGAGACTGTCTACGCCCAAGTCACAGGTAAGTTAAAGCAGTTCTCAGAGCAGGAGTTTGTGGACTGTGCCTACGCGGAGTCGTACGACTCATGTCGGGGCGGCTGGGTCACAACACCCTGGAACTACGCTGTGAAGTCAGGTCGGTTAGCTACACAGAGTGCTCTTCCTTACCTTGGTACTGATAGAAAGTGTGATGTAAGTTCCACCCACAACGGTCTAATAGCTGCTAAACTAACCGGTTACACATTCCTCGGATCAGGTGAACACAAGGTTATCTCCGGTCTCTCCGGTGGGGTTCTAGCAGCAGGGTTCAGAGTCTCTAACTCATTCTTTAGGTACAGTTCTGGCATCATAGCTGACGACACGTGTTACTCTGACTTCAGGGGCTACCACGCTGTTACCATAGTGGGGTACACCCCTAGAGCTGTCATTGTGAAGAATAGCTGGGGTGTACACTGGGGAGAGAAAGGGTACTTCAACTGGGCACGAGGCCATGAGGGGTGCAACCTGTACAGTTATACTAGCACTGTGGAGATGAAGGTGACAGGAGAGGAGGATGGGGATGAGGCGTATAAAGCGGAGGAGGGAGAGGAGCCTTGTGTTGTGACTGATCCGGGGTGTCCGTGTGGGACTGTCAGGTGCGGGGATGAAATGTGTAGACACGAACACATGTGCTAGAACCTTGTACTGACCCTGTCTTGTGCTAGAACGGGTGGGCGACAATTGACCCCCCGACAATTGACCCCCCGACAATTGACCCCCCGACAATTGACCCCCCGACAATTAACCCCCCGACAATTGACCCCCGACAATTTACCCCCCGACAATTGACCCTCCGGCTGACCTTGACCCTGACCCAGGACCCGGGACCCAGGACCCAGGACCCAGGACCCAAGACCCAGGACCCAGGACCCAAGACCCAGGACCCAGGACCCAGGACCCAGGACCCAGGACCCTGACCCTGACCCTGACCCTGACCCTGACCCTGACCCTGACCCTGACCCTGACCCTGACCTGACCCTAACCCTAACCCTAACCCTAACCCTGACCCTGACCCTGACCCAGGACCCTAACCCTAACCCTAACCCTAACCCTAACCCTAACCCTAACCCTAACCCTAACCCTAACCCTAACCCTAACCCTAACCCTAACCCTGACCCAGGACACTGACCCTAACCCTAACCCTAACCCTAACCCTAACCCTGACCCAGGACCCTGACCCAGGATGCCGATCCAGGACCCTGACCCTAACCCGATCAATTGACCCCAGTGTAATTACATGGGGGGTCAATTGTCGGGGGGTCAATTGTCGTACTAAACCCTAGATTTCGCGACAATTGACCCCAGTGTAATTACATAGGGGTCAATTGTCGGGGGGTCAATTGTCGGGGGGTCAATTGTCGGGGGGTCAATTGTCGGGGGGTCAATTGTCGCGGTACCGCTAGAACATATTCGGAGTGTAAGAACACTGTGCTAGAGTATTGTAAATTGTTTAAGGATAGTTACTTTTTGGATGTAGAATATGTATTATTTAGCGTCGTTATTAATGGAATTAAAGATTGATGCCTGTTGTTTTAATACACAATGTGTTCAAAATTAATAAGAATTGAAAAACTTGCTATTGTTTATAATTCATAGGACCAAAATCAAATCTTTAACAAGTCGCCACATAATCATAAATTGTGTAGTTCAATCTATTAAGATTTGTGTTCAACAAAGCAACAAAACAATTCATTCCTTTTCTCCCATTGCAATGGGTTTATAACTCAAACCAAATTTACAAATAATAATAATTCAAGATGAGTCAGACAGCGCGGTGGTAAATTTAAAATAAGTAGATTATAATCTTGTCTACAATTTTTTATATCCGAGAAAATGCCGAAAATCTGAAAAACAAGCTATTATAGCTCACCAAACTTTAATTAACTGATATTGTATTTGCAAAGTTAGTATAAATATACACTTTGAACTATATTTTCAGTCAGCTATACCGGAAGTTTTAAGACTGTTTATGACTCAAGCTAATAATGGGGATAATAACGATGTCGTCTCTCAAATCGCTGCATACATCAGGACATTCAAAATACTGCGCTCACTGAAGATGGTATGTTTCTATAGACTATGTTTCGATACTGTGAAACTTTTATTTCTAGTCTCTAGACTACTTTGACGCCACGAAAAAGGATAAGATATTACTCGAAGGACCCACGATCATTAGTTACGCGAACAGTGCCTGTGTAAACTAAGTTTGCTTTACAGATAGCAAGATTTGGAAGTTTGAAGATAATAGTAATGACCATCCTTCAAGCGTTCCAGTCCATGGTGTTCATTCTAGTTCTGCTTCTCTCTATAGCTTACATTTTTGCTATCATGGCTGTCGTCTTCTTCAATACTGATAATCCTGAACTCAACGAATTCCAGGGAGCTTTTGAGTAAGTTACCTGTAATAGCTTTCACTATGCTTTTTGCCCTAAAAATGGATAGATTTAAACGGCGGGCGGGCGGCTGCCCCGTTATTTGTTACCAGTTTTGATACTTTGTCGTGAACTTGTCGTGAAGAAGAACGAGAGACTTACAGACGAGTAGAAAATACTACTGAGCCCTACAGACGAAATGCGCTTCCCAAATTCAGCATTGCTTCGTCAGGATACACTACGTATCCCCCAACCATCAACAAGCCACGAGTAGAAAACCAAGAGAATAAGACTGCCCAAGATGAGTCTTTTTTATTGAAGCTCATAGAGAACATGAAGGCTGGTTTTCAGGAACAAATCGATGGCCTGAGAAACGAGATTATCATCGGGAGGGGGAAAGAGGTCCAACGCCAACCGATTCCCCAGCAACTGAACCCCACGGAGCTACCATGCCACCCCGCAACTCGAGCTGTTCCGGGACTGCACCCGCCCATCCCATACCCGTACATGATGGCACCACAGTGGTTCAGCCAGAACTTTCCACCATTGTCCTCTTAAATGGACAGAGCGTATCTCCGGCAGCTACTAGCAGCTCTAGATGGAAACTACCCTACATCCAGGAAACCATCATCGAAGGAAGTAGCTGCCCCCCACCATTCATAGCCATAACCGAGTCATGGCTAAAGAGTTACATCTCTGACGCTCAGGTGCAGATAAAAGACTATCAATCGTTCAGATCTGATAGACCAGAGAGAGTAGGAGGAGGTTGCCTCCTCTATGTTCATGACCAGCTAGTGGTAACAGAAACCGATCACTACGAGGATAGAAGCAATAACATGGTCATGTGTTATGTTAAGTCATGCAACACCCTTTTTGCTACTGTCTACAGGCCCCCTGGAGCAGATACTTCGGGCTGGAAGAACTTACTAGACAGACTGCAAGCCAAAATAGACGCGATCTCAGAAAATACAACGGTGCCAGACATATACGTTGTTGGAGATTTCAACTATCCAGAGATAGACTGGGAACATGGAGGCTTAAGAAGTGAAGCCAGGTGTCATGACTTTATAGAGTTTATAGACCGTAACTTTCTAACACAGGTCGTAAACCAGTCAACAAGAGAAGGTAGCACCCTAGATCTTGTACTTACAAATGTTCCTAGGTATGTCGCAGAAGTAAAGGTGAACCCCACATCTTTATCAGACCACAGCTTGGTCGAAATTCAGCTTGGTTTTAATATGACTGGAAGAAAGAAGAACGAAACCAGCAAGATCGACCCAAACTCTTTCAGGGCAGTTGACTATCACAAAGCCGATTTTGTGGCAATCAGTGATTGCCTTCAGAAAGTCGACTGGCTGAAGCTCTGGGAACTCTGTGACGAGGACTTGAACGCTTTTCTGGAATTGTTCAAGCTAACAGTGCTCCAGATTACCTTGGAGTTCTCCCCAAAGAAAGAGAGTGCAGCGGAGATTACCTCAAGAAAGAGAAGAGGGAATAAGCACGTTTATGTCATGAAAAGAAGACGAAGGAAGATGAATGCTAGGATACGTGCATTACAGGAAATGAATCCTAGCTCGAGTTTAATCCCTAAACTGAAAACGGAGGTTTCACTGCTGTGTTACTCCATACAGGAAGGGACCCTTGAGAAACTGAACAAAAAAGAACTCCGGGCAGTCGATGCAATAAAGAAGAACCCCAAATACTTCTTTTCGTATGCCAAGCGTCTCCAGAAGACCAGATCTACGATCCCGGTGTTGAGAGATGAGACTGGGGCATTAGTGGACGACCCCAGTATCAAGGCAGAGTTACTTCAGAAGCAGTACCAGAAGGTATTTAGTAACCCTATGAGTGCCGATATTGATGAATGTATGAAGAGCCAAGGATTACCTCAGGGACTGGATTCCGGATTCAACGAGCTAAGCTTCACAAGAAAAGATATCATTGAAGCATTAGGAGAACTGGATCCCTATTCAGCCGCACCTGACGGAGAGATTCCTGCTAGGATACTCACAGCCTGCAAAGAACAACTTGCAGACCCGCTAACACTCCTCTGGCAGGAATCGTTCAGCAGTGGGTATATACCAGCGGAATTAAAGACCCAATATATCACCCCTATCTATAAGAAGGGGGACAGAACGGACCCAGCAAACTATAGACCAGTGTCTTTAACCTCGCACATCATAAAGACATTTGAGCGTGTAATCAGAAAAAACCTGGTTCGTCATCTGGAAGAGAACATGATGATCAATACGAACCAGCATGGGTTCAGAAAAAAGAGGAGTTGCATGACGCAGCTTCTCAGTCACATCGAACAGATCTACAAATCACTCAACAATGATGAAGAAGTTGATGTGATTTACCTCGACTTTGCCAAAGCTTTTGACAAGGTCGACCATGCAGTGCTGCTAGCCAAGCTTGGTCGATACGGAATTGGTGGTCAGGCTTTAAGGTGGATCAAAGAGTTTTTGCTAAACAGAAAACAAACAGTCGTTGTTGAAGGTCACAAATCATCCTTCCAGCCAGTGGCAAGTGGGGTGCCACAAGGGACAGTCCTAGGACCGATCCTATTTATCCTGTACATCAACGATCTGTTGAACAGCATTAGCTATAGTAACGGATTCAGCTTTGCAGACGACACAAAGCTGATTGGGGCTATCCGAGGAATGAGTAGTGTGGAGTTACTGCAAGATGATCTCAACATAGTCATCGAGTGGTCACGTGTTAACAACATGGAGCTACACGAAAAGAAGTTTGAGGTTGTAAACTACCCCCTGAATGGATCAAAAGCTCTAAGAGAGCTCCCGTTCTACCCAGAGACTGTTGAATACACTACACCAAAAGGACACGCAATATCACCACAGGAAACTGTCAGAGACCTTGGAGTGTATGTTAGCAGCAGTAGGTCATGGGGTCCTCACATTGAGAAGACAGTTCAAGGAGCTAGAAAAATGGCGGCTTGGACATTGAGTGCCTTTAGAGACCGGTCACAAGTAGTCATGCTGACTTTATACAAAAGCATGGTTCGCTCCAAGCTAGAGTACTGCTGTCCAGTCTGGAACCCTACAAAAGTCACAGAGATACAAAAGCTGGAGACTGTACAGAGATCCTTTACTAGAAAGATATCTGGCTGCCGTGATCTCCAGTACTGGGACAGGCTGAAGAAGCTTAAGTTGATGTCCCTTCAGAGGCGGAGAGAGCGTTATTCTATTATTCATGTATGGAAAATTCTTAATGAACATGCTCCAAACGATACGGGCTTCGAGTTCAAGTCTCATCAAAGGCATGGTATTAAGGCAGAGATCCCAGCCATGAACAAAAACGCACAGTTGTCGGTAAGAACAGATTACGACAACAGCTTTAGAGTTAGAGCAGCTCAGCTCTTCAACGTGCTCCCATCGGAGCTCCGGAGTATCACATTGCTAGACAGTTTCAAAGTTGGTCTAGGCAGATTTATGGAACAGTACCCAGACACACCACCGGTTCCGGGATACACTCCGACAAACGATAACTCAATGCTGAGCTGGAGGAGGACGCACTCGATGCAGTTGTCCTGAGCACGCCCTGCCAAACTCACCAAAACGTACCAAAACGTACGTAACTTGTGAACCTAATACACATAGTCCACCACATTACAAATTGGCACTATTTCGTAAAACTTCAGCCTTTTTCAACATTTCTCTTTCTCTTCAGCAATCTGTACCGAGCGATGATCACGCTATTCCAACTATTTACCATGGATCAGTGGTATGCACTGTTGAAATACCTCTGGATAGACAACAGCAAGTTCGAGTCAACACTCTACATCATACTCTGGGTCCTTTTCGGAGCGTTCATCTTCAAAAACATTTTCGTTGGTATCATGGGTTGGTAAAAATCGTTCGCATAACAAGTTTAAGATGTCCATTTTCTTTCTCACGACTAGCTTGATCCCTCGGTAATGAATCCTCAACAATACCAGTCCAAATAAAAACACTACTTCAGTGAACAACTTCCAAGACATTTCGAGGGAGATAACATCAGAGCAGGACCAGGCACTGGCAGAGGAGGCGAAGGAGTTAGCACGGCTGGAACTGTTGGAGGAGCTCAACCAGGCGGAGATGGAGGGGACTGGTGAGGACGATGAGACAATGTCTACCGTCCACAGTGAAACATCGTTAGTGAAATAACCGGAATAAAATGATCGTTGATTATAATTATCATAGATATCACGTATATATATAGATATCACGTATAATATATAGCAATTAGCAATCAAAGAGAATATAAAACAAACAAAAGTCTAAATTTACCCATATGAACTACACTCGCCTAACAAGATCAAATTCTCTTTTTCATTTTTTGCTTAGTCATCAAGTTAATTCCAGCCCACCTGACCTTGAAGAATATATTGAAGGGTGATTTACAACACAATACAATACATCTTATATCTTGTATCTTGTTGTTGATTTACAAGTTTCAGGTGTGACGGAGGAGCTATGGGTCGTACAGAGAGTGAGGTGGAGTGGGAGAGGATGTTGAAAGCTAACATGGAAGCTTTGGACGACCCCAGCAAACTCCCGGAGGTCGCGTGGCCTAAAGAACTTCTTTATAGGTTACTTTCGATTTATTTTTCACATTTAGTGTTGAACTATGTGTGCCCAATGTTATGCGGCAATAATTTAACGTCATTTTGAGGGAACAAGGGAAACCTTCACCACTGTCAACTTAAATTACTGTCAGTATATTTATCACGTGATAAAACTGTGCCAGGTACTACATCGTGATGGAGAAGATTTCACTAAATCTGCAAGAGGGAGAAGAAATTCAGAAACTATTAGGTATTTTTATTTTTCCTCTAAACCTGCTTCGTATCATATTCATAAGATAATGATATGAGATAAGATCCAGAAAATAAAAGTACTTAAATGAGTATTTCATATTCGTGTATTCGCTAAATAAATACAGGATTGCACCAGAATTAACGAATGATGTATTTCATTACAATTTCGGCTAATTTCAGTATTTGCGTTGCTCAGCATGAATGACTATTGAATACGGAGATGGCAGCTCATTTAAGATTATGATAGTGAACGATCATCAGGATGATTGATTGTAGCAGAATTTGTTTTTACAGGCTTCTTGTACTGCATCTCTGCCGGCTCGATTTCTGTAATTATGCAAATCTGCTGGGTAAATCAGATAACATTTTATTTTGAAACTTAATTTGAGTTGTTAATATGTATTTCTTTTTATTGAATACACAATACAATTTACACAGGGTTACGAATCTCCTTAGGTTGCTCGTGCTCAATAGGCGCGGTACCAAGAAATCGCGTTATATTTTGGAACGCGCGTTAATAAAATTCTGATGAAAGCATATCTTTTTCTATTTCAGCAGCTACCGTAACATTAATTACACTTTCTATACGTTCACCTGGCTTCAATTATTTCTTATCAAATAACACCTAATTAACAATTTACGGTTGAATTAAGCTATGAGCGATGGATTCCAATGACGGGGATGAATTTGGACTGAACTACGAAAAGTACTACGGTCAAAGTTCGATATTTAGCGCCAGATTTGCCTTGGGAATCTTCACTGAGTTTATCGGTGAGTGATGCATAGAGTTGTTCACCTCCGAATTTGCCGCTCACCTTTCCTAAGATAAGAAACTTTATTTAAAACACTGTCAGTCAGCGGTGTAACATGTAACGTTTCGCCACTATAATCAGTGAACAGTGTCTTTCAATTCTGGATTGGTCTCTTATCTGTTAAACACCTTGTGTCCCATATTCGGCCGTTAGGCAAAGTCTGTCAAAACTCTATTGACTCTGTCATAATGCTTGAGAGTGGAGGAGGGTTCTGGAAACAAATAAGTGATTTGACAAGCTTTTTGTTTCAGTTTGAACCCATAAAAGTGATCCTAATTTCAGGAACGTTCATCATCAATTATGTTGGATTACTAGCATGTCTGCTCCATGCCACCGACCAACTTGATGTCAATGCTTTAGTTGTTGGTTGCGCTTTCGGTGGATCGTACCTCTTTGTATCAAAAGTAGGTATCCAGGATTAATTATTTACCCCAATTTGATCATGATTTCGTCATCCTATTTATTTCAAATTTACGGCCTCAATAGCTAATAGTCTGTTATCAGTTGACAAAAGAGTAACTCAGAAGATTAAAAAGTAATGCTTTAGTGACCAAATACTTAGTCTACCATAAAAATGTACTCACATTTTTGACTAAAATTGTTGCGAACCAAATTCAATGCGGCTAAATTAATACCATTAAATTAACTGAGATTTTGGTAGAGCATAAATACTTAAAACTTTGACATATAATAATCTATTGACATATAATAATCTATTGACATATAATAATCTATTGATTACTTCGCATCTGCTCAAAGTATCTTTCTTCCTCTTAATCCACTCAATTATGCTCAAAATCACATGTCCGACCGTAATCAAATTTCCATCACCTCGATTGTATCAAATGCTATCTAATATCTATAGTTGACTGACTAATTGGTTGCGGATGAGAAATTCAGTCAAAACTGTAAAATATTGGTCCTGGAATCTTCAATTGGAAATTTCATCTTCAAAAACTGAAAATGGGACAGAGTATGGGACACTATGATTTTCCAATTTTCTTGGAGATTTCGACTTCCACTACCCCAATTTGGTTTCATACCATCATCAATTAACTGACTAATTGGTTTTTGGGCAAACATTTCATCCAATCTGTCAAATTTGTGTTCAGAAAATTTCATATTTGAAAATGGGACAGACTTTTGAAAATACAACTTTTCGTTTTGTTAAACTTTCTGCTGTGGGCTTCCTCCGATCGAAATCAAACTTCCAGCACCTCAATCGTGTCATATGCCACCTATAGTTGACTGACTAATTGGTTGCAGGCCAGAAATTCGGTCAAAACTGTAAAATTTTGGCCTTGGAAATTTCATCTTCAAAAACTGAAAATGGGACAGAGTATGGGACAATATGATTTTCCAATTTTCTTGGAGATTTCGACTTCCACTACCCCAATTTGGTTTCATACCATCATCAATTAACTGACTAATTGGTTTTTGGGCAAACGTTTCATCCAATCTGTCAAATTTGTGTTCAGAAAATTTCATATTTGAAAATGGGACAGACTTTTGAAAATACAACTTTTCGTTTTGTTAAACTTTCTGCTGTGGGCTTCCTCCGATCGAAATCAAACTTCCAGCACCTCAATCGTGTCATATGCCACCTATAGTTGGCTGACTAATTGGTTGCAGTCCATAAATTCGGTCAAAACTGTAAAATGTTGGCTTGTGGAAATTTCATCTTCAAAAACTGAAAATGGGACAGAGTATGGGACAATATGATTTTCCAATTTTCTTGGAGATTTTGACTTCCACTACCCCAATTTGGTTTCATACCATCATCAATTAACTGACTAATTGGTTTTTGGGCAAACATTTCATCCAATCTGTCAAATTTGTGTTCAGAAAATTTCATATTTGAAAATGGGACAGACTTTTGAAAATACAACTTTTCGTTTTGTTAAACTTTCTGCTGTGGGCTTCCTCCGATCGAAATCAAACTTCCAGCACCTCAATCGAGTCATATGCCACCTATAGTTGACTGACTAATTGGTTGCAGTCCATAAATTCGGTCAAAACTGTAAAATGTTGGTTGTGGAAATTTCATCTTCAAAAACTGAAAATGGGACAGAGTATGGGACAATATGATTTTCCAATTTTCTTGGAGATTTTAACTTCCACTACCCCAATTTGGTTTCATACCATCATCAATTAACTGACTAATTGGTTTTTGGGCAAACATTTCATCCAATCTGTCAAATTTGTGTTCAGAAAATTTCATATTTGAAAATGGGACAGACTTTTGAAAATACAACTTTTCGTTTTGTTAAACTTTCTGCTGTGGGCTTCCTCCGATCGAAATCAAATTTCCAGCACCTCAAACGTGTCATATGCCACCTCTAGTTGACTGACTAATTGGTAGCAGGCCAGAAATTCGGTCAAAACTGTGAAATTTTGGCCTTGGAAATTTCATCTTCAAAAACTGAAAATGGGACAGAGTATGGGACAGTATGATTTTCCAATTTTCTTGGAGATTTTGACTTCCACTACCCCAATTTGGTTTCATACCATCGTAAATTAACTGACTAATTGGTTTTTGGGCAAACATTTCATCCAATCTGTCAAATTTTTGTTCAGAAAATTTCATATTTGAAAATGGGACAGACTTTTGAAAATACAACTTTTCGTTTTGTTAAACTTTCTGCTGTGGGCTTCCTCCGATCGAAATCAAACTTCCAGCACCTCAATCGTGTCATATGCCACCTATAGTTAACTGACTAATTGGTTGCAGGCCAGAAATTCGGTCAAAACTGTAAAATTCTGGTCCTGGAAATTTCATCTTCAAAAACTGAAAATGGGACAGAGTATGGGACAATATGATTTTCCATTTTTCTTGGAGATTTTGACTTCCACTACCCCAATTTGGTTTCATACCATCGTAAATTAACTGACTAATTGGTTTTTGGGCAAACATTTCATCCAATCTGTCAAATTTGTGTTCAGAAAATTTCATATTTGAAAATGGGACAGACTTTTGAAAATACAACTTTTCGATTTGTTAAACTTTCTGCTGTGGGCTTCCTCCGATCGAAATCAAATTTCCAGCACCTCAATCGTGTCATATGCCACCTATAGTTGACTGACTAATTGATTGCAGTCCATAAATTCGGTCAAAACTGTAAAATGTTGGTCCTGGAAATTTCATCTTCAAAAACTGAAAATGGGACAGAGTATGGGATCGGGACAATATGATTTTCCAATTTTCTTGGAGATTTTGACTTCCACTACCCCAATTTGGTTTCATACCATCATCAATTAACTGACTAATTGGTTTTTGGGCAAACATTTCATCCAATCTGTCAAATTTGTGTACAGAAAATTTCATATTTGAAAATGGGACAGACTTTTGAAAATACAACTTTTCGTTTTGTTAAACTTTCTGCTGTGGGCTTCCTCCGATCGAAATCAAACTTCCAGCACCTCAATCGAGTCATATGCCACCTATAGTTGGCTGACTAATTGGTTGCAGTCCATAAATTCGGTCAAAACTGTAAAATGTTGGTCGTGGAAATTTCATCTTCAAAAACTGAAAATGGGACAGAGTATGGGACAATATGATTTTCCAATTTTCTTGGAGATTTTAACTTCCACTACCCCAATTTGGTTTCATACCATCATCAATTAACTGACTAATTGGTTTTTGGGCAAACATTTCATCCAATCTGTCAAATTTGTGTTCAGAAAATTTCATATTTGAAAATGGGACAGACTTTTGAAAATACAACTTTTCGTTTTGTTAAACTTTCTGCTGTGGGCTTCCTCCGATCGAAATCAAACTTCCAGCACCTCAATCGTGTCATATCCCACCTATAGTTGGCTGACTAAGTGGTTGCAGGCCAGAAATTCGGTCAAAACTGTAAAATTCTGGTCCTGGAAATTTCATCTTCAAAAACTGAAAATGGGACAGAGTATGGGACAATATGATTTTCCAATTTTCTTGGAGATTTTGACTTCCACTACCCCAATTTGGTTTCTTACCATCATCAATAAACTGACTAATTGGTTTTTGGGCAAACATTTCATCCAATCTGTCAAATTTGTGCTCAGAAAATTTCATATTTGAAAATGGGACAGACTTTTGAAAATACAACTTTTCGTTTTGTTAAACTTTCTGCTGTGGGCTTCCTCCGATCGAAATCAAATTTCCAGCACCTCAATCGTGTCATATGCCACCTATAGTTGACTGACTAATTGGTTGCAGTCCATGAATTCGGTCAAAACTGTAAAATGTTGGTCCTGGAAATTTCATCTTCAAAAACTGAAAATGGGACAGAGTATGGGATCGGGACAATATGATTTTCCAATTTTCTTGGAGATTTTGACTTCCACTACCCCAATTTGGTTTCATACCATCGTAAATTAACTGACTAATTGGTTTTTGGGCAAACATTTCATCCAATCTGTCAAATTTGTGTTCAGAAAATTTCATATTTGAAAATGGGACAGACTTTTGAAAATACAACTTTTCGTTTTGTTAAACTTTCTGCTGTGGGCTTCCTCCGATCAAAATCAAACTTCCAGCACCTCAATCTTGTCATATGCCACCTATAGTTGGCTGACTAATTGGTTGCAGTCCATAAATTTGGTCAAAACTGTAAAATGTTGGTCCTGGAAATTTCATCTTCAAAAACTGAAAATGGGACAGAGTATGGGACAATATGATTTTCCAATTTTCTTGGAGATTTTGACTTCCACTACCCCAATTTGGTTTCATACCATCGTCAATTAACTGACTAATTGGTTTTTGGGCAAACATTTCATCCAATCTGTCAAATTTGTGTTCAGAAAATTTCATATTTGAAAATGGGACAGACTTTTGAAAATACAACTTTTCGTTTTGTTAAACTTTCTGCTGTGGGCTTCCTCTGATCAAAATCAAACTTCCAGCACCTCAATCGTGTCACATGCCACCTATAGTTGACTGACTAATTGGTTGCAGGCCAGAAATTCGGTCAAAACTGTAAAATTCTGGTCCTGGAAATTTCATCTTCAAAAACTGAAAATGGGACAGAGTATGGGACAATATGATTTTCCAATTTTCTTGGAGATTTTGACTTCCACTACCCCAATTTGGTTTCATACCATCATCAATTAACTGAATAATTGGTTTTTGGGCAAACGTTTCATCCAATCTGTCAAATTTGTGTTCAGAAAATTTCATATTTGAAAATGGGACAGACTTTTGAAAATACAACTTTTTGTTTTGTTAAACTTTCTGCTCTGGGCTTCCTCCGATCGAAATCAAACTTCCAGCACCTCAATCGTGTCATATGCCACCTATAGTTGACTGACTAATTGGTTGCAGGCCATAAATTCGGTCAAAACTGTAAAATGTTGGTCCTGTAAATTTCATCTTCAAAAACTGAAAATGGGACAGAGTATGGGACAATTTGATTTTCCAATTTTCTTTGAGATTTTGACTTCCACTACCCCAATTTGGTTTCATACCATCGTCAATTAACTGACTAATTGGTTTCTGGGAAAAAATTTCATCCAATCTGTCAAATGTGTGTTCAGATATCTTCAAAAATGAAAATGGGAATCCTGACTCAGGACTTGAAATACAACTAATTTCAAAATTTCTGACTTTTGGTCAATTTTGGTAACTGAATTTATTGTAACTTTGATTATTCGTAACTTAGGTTTGTGGTTTCTACGGTTACTCGGACCGCTACACTGGTCATATTGAATTTCAACACTTTTAAAAGCAAATTATGAATAATATATTAAGCTGCAACATGTTGGAAATGTATATTCTTCCTGTTAATGACGTTAGCCCACTAAATTTGGTTGGGAGTCGCCGGATATTCTCAATGAAGCAGTGTTAAGTCTCTTAAGATTCGATTAAATTTAGCTTAAATAGCTAAAGTTTAAAATCTAATTTTAAGTTGAATATAGAAGCCACGAACGTGTTGTTTATCAATTAAATTGAATCTTTAATGTTTAAATGGACCACTTCACTTGTGACATGGGGGAAATTCGTTAAATGTGATAATATCTGTAATCTGTCAAAGAAAAATATGATCACCCGAACATCATATCATTCCACTAAACTATGTAAATTAAGCATTTTAATGTTATTCCGCAGATATTCCGGAAGATAGGGAGCTGTCATTTCAACCCAATGTTGTCGCTGTGTTCACTCTTCTTTGGTAACCTGTCCATCCTCTACTGCTTCCTCTCTTTCCTGGCTCAGATTGCAGCAGTCAGCCTCGCTACCTCCGTCCTTACTTCTCTTCATAGGGAGTACGACATACTCTACGCAACTGTCTTTAAGCCAGAAGGTTGGTTGAATTTGGAAATTTGCTTTTATTACAGTTGCAACTTTGGACCGAAATTAGCTTGTAGTCAGGGGTAGAGAAAACTTGCCTTGTCCTAGATATTGGAAACAATTAGCTCGAGTCAGGGGTAGTGAAAACTCGCCTTGTCCTAGATACTGGAAACTAGATAGCTTGTAGTCAGGGGTAGAGAAAACTTGCCTTGTCCTAGATACTGGAAACAATTAGCTTGTAGTCAGGGGTAGAGAAAACTTGCCTTGTCCTAGATATTGGAAACAATTAGCTTGAGTCAGGGGTAGTGAAAACTCGCCTTGTCCTAGATACTGGAAACTAGATAGCTTGTAGTCAGGGGTAGTGAAAACTCGCCTTCTCCTAGATATTGGAAACAATTAGCTTGTAGTCAGGGGTAGTGAAAACTCACCTTGTCCTAGATACTGGAGACTAGATAGCTTGTAGTCAGGGGTCGTGAAAACTTGCCTTGTCCTAGATACTGGAAACAATTAGCTTGTAGTTAGGGGTCGTGAAAACTTGCCTTGTCCTAGATACTGGAAACAATTAGCTTGTAGTTAGGGGTCGTGAAAACTTGCCTTGTCCTAGATACTGGAAACAATTAGCTTGTAGTTAGGGGTAGTGAAAACTCGCCTTGTCCTAGATACTGGAAACAATTAGCTTGTAGTCAGGGGTAGTGAAAACTCACCTTGTCCTAGATACTGGAAACTAGATAGCTTGTAGTCAGGGGTAGTGAAAACTTGCCTTGTCCTAGATACTGGAAACAATTAGCTTGTAGTTAGGGGTAGTGAAAACTCGCCTTGTCCTAGATACTGGAAACAATTAGCTTGTAGTTAGGGGTAGTGAAAACTCGCCTTGTCCTAGATACTGGAAACAATTAGCTTGTAGTCAGGGGTAGTGAAAACTCGCCTTGTCCTAGATACTGGAAACAATTAGCTTGCAGTCAGGGGTAGAGAAAACTTGCCTTGTCCTAGATACTGGAAACAATTAGCTTGTAGTCAGGGGTAGTGAAAACTCGCCTTGTCCTAGATACTGGAAACAATTAGCTTGTAGTCAGGGGTAGTGAAAACTCGCCTTGTCCTAGATACTGGAAACAATTAGCTTGTAGTCAGGGGTAGTGAAAACTCGCCTTGTCCTAGATACTGGAAACAATTAGCTTGTAGTCAGGGGTAGAGAAAACTTGCCTTGTCCTAGATACTGGAAACAATTAGCTTGTAGTCAGGGGTAGTGAAAACTCGCCTTGTCCTAGATACTGGAAACAATTAGCTTGTAGTCAGAGGTAGTGAAAACTCGCTTTGTCCTAGATACTGGAAACAATTAGATTGAGTCAGGGGTAGTGAAAACTCGCCTTGTCCTAGATACTGGAAACTAGATAGCTTGTAGTCAGAGGTAGTGAAAACTCGCCTTGTCCTAGATACTGGAAACTAGATAGCTTGTAGTCAGGGGTAGTGAAAACTCGCCTTGTCCTAGATACTGGAAACAATTAGCTTGTAGTCAGAGGTAGTGAAAACTCGCTTTGTCCTAGATACTGGAAACAATTAGATTGAGTCAGGGGTAGTGAAAACTCGCCTTGTCCTAGATACTGGAAACTAGATAGCTTGTAGTCAGGGGTAGTGAAAACTCGCCTTGTCCTAGATACTGGAAACTAGATAGCTTGTAGTCAGGGGTAGTGAAAACTCGCCTTCTCCTAGATACTGGAAACAATTAGCTTGTAGTCAGGGGTAGTGAAAACTCGCCTTGTCCTAGATACTGGAAACAATTAGCTTGTAGTCAGGGGTAGTGAAAACTCGCCTTGTCCTAGATACTGGAAACTAGATAGCTTGTAGTCAGGGGTAGTGAAAACTTGCCTTCTCCTAGATACTGGAAACTAGATAGCTTGTAGTCAGGGGTAGAGAATACTCGCATTCTCCTAGATACTGGAAACTAGATAGCTTGTAGTCAGGGGTAGTGAAAACTCGCCTTGTCCTAGATACTGGAAACTAGATAGCTTGTAGTCAGGGGTCGTGAAAACTCGCCTTGTCCTAGATACTGGAATCGATTAGCTTGTAGTCAGGGGTAGTGAAAACTCGCCTTGTCCTAGATACTGGAAACTAGATAGCTTGTAGTCAGGGGTAGTGAAAACTCGCCTTGTCCTAGATACTGGAAACAATTAGCTTGTAGTCAGGGGTAGAGAAAACTTGCCTTGTCCTAGACACTGGAAACAATTAGCTTGTAGTCAGGGGTAGTGAAAACTTGCCTTGTCCTAGATATTGGAAACAATTAGCTTGTAGTCAGGGGTAGTGAAAACTCGCCTTCTCCTAGATACTGGAAACAATTTTAATCGTACTCGAATATTCCTAAATATGTACAAAGTTAATTCTGACCCGATTGGGTTAGGTTGTTTTTAATTACTAAACTAAACCCGCTCTCCAGGAATATCGACCATGGCAATGTTAGTCGCAGAATTTTCTGGCTCACTTCTAGTGATAAGCTCCAGATTGGTAACAACTGACAAGGCTAATCTCGATAACTACTACACTTCTCTCTCTATGGTGCTCTCCATTACTGTTTTCGTAAGTTCCATTTGACCGTTTAATTTTGTTATTGGAGTTTACCAGAGTCAATAAGTCGTATTCATACAAATATTTTAAAATTTGTATTCAGGAAGTCTAAATTTCTTTTTTATGCGAATCTTGATAGTTTGAATTATGTTCACCCAGTTTCAGAGTATAAATATATGTTCTATATCGTAACATTTACTTCCCTTCGTTATAAACATCGTTATTAGTACTACTGATTCTGTCCTGAAAAAAAAAATCAGACGTTTTTTCCATTAAATTATGTTCTATATTTACATTTTAGGCTATCATTATACTCCTATTGAACGAAACGTCTATTGAATTGTCTTAGCTTATTGAAGTTGAATGATGTAAGATAACTAACAAATTCAGCATCATACTCCGTTCTACGTTCCATAAATGTATTGTAAATCTATGATTTAAACACTTCTAACTATTTGGTCACTACTTGGTCACTACTTGGTCACGAATTAAACGCGGCAAGCATTTTATTTTTATTTGAATGGTTAGTTTTTATTTGAACAGCATGTACTACGTTTTTTGGCAAAACTGCAAATCAAGCCAGTGCTCAAAGTCAATTAAAAGCAGGTTCCTTAATTTTAGGAACTGTAGGTTACCTTGTTAAACGAGCGACAAGTTGGTGCTTTTTATTAGTTTTTGGGTAAATGACTAAATGAACCTCTCTAAATGCCTACAAAGTAAAAGCGAGTTTAAAAGTAAGTAAAGTATAAACTGCATAACTGTGCTTTATTTTTATTTTTGACAGAATAGTTTATGCTCTAACGATCGTTAATTGTAATTTTAAATTTTAAAAGGCAATGCCTACGGTTGATGGAAATCTAGCGTCCGCTAACCGGCGCAATTTTTGTTATTTTTGACAGAATAGTTTATGCTCTACCCTAACCCACAGAAGAATAAAATTCCCTTGAGAATAAATGGGTCATCTTAAAGTGGAAAACTGTGTAACATGCAGAATTAAAGTTGAACACAGTGCGTGCATAATGGAAGTGGAAAACAGTGCCTGCAAAATGGAAGTGGGACAAGGTGCGTGCATAATGAAAGTGAAACACTGTGCGCACAAAATTGTTCATTCTGGCACAATATTAGATTTGTGCACTCAATGTCAACCTCCTTAAACCGCAGATACCGTACAGTGGAGGAGCTATAAACCCAGCTCGTGCTATCGGAGCTAGTCTGTTCACCCTCCAGGAAGTCCCTGATTATTATTGGGTAACTTAAACTATATTCACACTTTTTATATTGCATCTGTAGCCATTTAATCGGGAGGATGTGTATGATGATTTATATTCTTTAAGTTTAAATCATTTATTTAACACCTTTAAGGCCACAGGGGGGGGGGGGGGGGGCCGAGCTCAATTTTGAGATTTTGAGATTTGTTGTAGATCTCGATCTAAATTTTCGAATGCTTTTGTTCCCACCGAAAACAAAGCTTCTCATCTGTAGATATCGCCCGTCAAATTTTGAGGTTTACCTGTAATTCTATTGTAAATGAAAACTTCAAATGCAATTTTGTTTAAAATCTATCTTCTTTTACAGTTTACGACATGGGACCTTGTAACTTGGAAACAATGTTTTTCAAGGTCTTGTCCAATAGCCTAATGTAGCGATTTTTGATTTTTTGCTCCAAAGCTGAGATATTAGGTTAACCATGAGTGTGTGTCGCAAAATTGTCAACATAACAGTTAACCTCATAAAAAGAGTAAGGAGCAAAATTTTAAAAATCGCTGCATCGTAACTAATTGTGGCTATCTTAGGAACATATGTTCCAAATTTGAGATAAAACGGATGAAAGCTCTAGGAGAAGGAACATTTTAAAGTTGGTTTCAGGAGAGCCAAAAGATTGATTTTGAACAGAACCGATTATTTGCGAGGTTAACTGATTAAATAGGCAATAGTTGACCTCAATTTTACGACAAACTAGGCGCTCTGGGGGGCTAGGGGTGGTGCGCGAGCGTCAAGTAGTCTGTCAAATGGCCCCCCCTCCTGTGGCTTTAAGCTTTTTTTTCTTCCATTTTATCACTCCGAATTATTTTACCAGCGTGGTCTTCATCTTCAGATATATTGGTGTGACCCACTGGGGGCCTCCTTTATTACAATCCTACCACTATCTTTATCTTCAGATCTAGATATATTGGTGTGGCCCACTGTTGGCCTCCTTTATTACAATCATACTACTGTCTTTATCTTCAGACATATTGGTGTGGCCCACTGGGGGCCTCCTTTATTACAATCCTACTACTGTCTTTATCTTCAGATATATTGGTGTGGCCCACTGGGGGCCTCCTTTATTACAATCCTACTACTGTTTACTGGCGTACTTCGCAAGAAAGACACAGCTACAGACTAAATCAACTTCAGGTAAGACATCCATTTACTTCAGAGTTCTGAATTTTGAGTGTTTCAAATTTTAAACGTCGATTCTCGATTCTAAGTGCCAAACACCGACCGAAATAAACAACCATGACCTAGCGGCTAGCTGAATGTATGTTTGGCACACTTTTGTGCAACAATAATCCAAACTGGTCAAGTTGTCGAACAAATACAATGTTGCTTCGATTCCTGTAATAAAAGAGCTATTTCCGATTTAATGTTATTAAACAAAGCAGAAAATTCACAACAATATAGACAAATATATAAAAATCGCACCAAAATGCAAAGAATAACTCAAAAAAAAGTCGAAAAAAACCAGTTAAGATAAAAAAACGTCGTCCCATTTGAAATCTTGTAAAACATAAGGAATACATTTAAAAACAGTTCGTTTGTCTTTGTTTACATGTGTGAATTAATAAAGTATAGGATTACCCTTTCATAGCTATAGTAGTAAGTTCAGTCTTGGCTGCAAGAGCCTGTCTTAGTAAATATAAAACCTTCTTTCTAGTCCACATATCATATTAGGATACGTCAAATACCTGTTACAAGTCCCTATACTCATTTATAAGTCTCTTTCCACTATCACTTTAAGTGTCAATCTATCCGAACCACACGGCCAAATTATATGGTCCTTCGTTCAATTTACGATTCAGGTTACAGGTGTTTTCTGTAAATCTCAGAAGCAGCAAGCTCTGTAACTTTACGGAAAAGTTTCTTCTCAATTTTGAGAGGCAACAGCTCAAAAGTCAAAACTTTGTAGTTTCGACGAGAAGTTTCTTCTTAAATCTCAGATAAAGCAAGCTTTGTAATCTGCGCTAGAAGTTTCTTCTCAAATATAAGAGCAGTGTTTGCAAAAAGATACTCTTTAAATATCAGAGGTAGCAAGCTCTGTTGTTTTAGCAAAATGTTTCTTCTCAAATCTCCGAAGTCATAGGCTCTAGTTTTGATAAGAAGTTTTTACTCACATCGCAGAGCTATACTAGAGGCCACAGACTCTGTAGTTTTGGAGAGAATATTGAGCAGATTCTCTTTAAATTTCAGAGTTCAGAAGCTCTTAAGGGGGCAGGGGGGGGGTCTTTATGAAATTTCTCTCGAAATTGATTTTATAGTTGTTTCTAATAGAGGGAAGTGATATCTAACTGCTAATTTTGGTCCCATGGAAAAATATTGTTCCTAGACGAATTTATTGCCAGTCAAAGGTCAGCGCTCATGTGTAATTGTATTGCGCGAGCGATTTTCAATCGCGCGCCCTGAAAATCGAGTCTAAAAATCTATCTCCTCATACATTTTTTGAGCAATCGCCTTGAAACTTTCAGGATATATTCTACGGACCATTTAGAAACTTTTGCTCGTTTTAGAATTTCGAGATAGGCCTTTAAAAATTTTGTATTAGATTTTGAAAATCTTGGACCTCTTTTTTTGACGATTTTTCCAGGTCCAAGATTTTCAAAATGGAATAAAAAATGTTTAAAGGCCTATCTCGAAATTCTAAAACGAGCAAAAGTTTTTAAATGGTCCTTAGAACATATCCTGAACGTTTCAAGGTGATTGCTCGAAAACTGTAGGAGGAGATAGATTTTTAGACTCGATTTTCAGGGCGCGCGATTGAAAATCGCTCGCGCAATACAATTATACATGAGCGCTGACCTTTGACTGGCAATAATTTCGTCTAGGAACGATATTTTTCCATGGGACCAAAAGTAGCAGATAGATATCACTCCCCTCTATTAGAAACAACTATAAAATCAATTTCGAGAGAAATTTCATAAAGACCCCCCCCTGCCCCCTTAAGTTTTGAAAAAAAGTTTCTCCTCAAATTTTAAGAGGATGCAAGCTCTGTAATCTTGGCGAGAATCTCAGAGGTCTGCACTTTAAGCTCTTTTGTTTTGGCAAGAAGTTGTCCTCAATTCTTAAAAGAAGCAGGATCTGTAGTTTTAGAGAGGCTTTCTCAGAGGCAGCAATCCCCTGTAGTTTTGACGAGGATTGTCCTCCTCAAACTTCCGATGTTTCAAGGTCTGCAGACTGCATAGAGTTTTGCTCCTGGAGAGCTGACTGAGAATTAGAGTTCTTGTCCATGAGGTCAACCGGGTCGATCTTCCTCTTGCACTTCGCACGTCTGTTCTGGAACCAGGTCTGAACTGAAATATATGGTATATTAGCATTTTGTTAGCATCTTGTTAACATCTTGTTAACATTTTGTTAACATCTTGTTAACATTTTGTTAGCATCTTGTTAACATTTTGTTAGCATCTTGTTAGCATCTTGTTAACATTTTGTTAGCATCTTGTTAACATTTTGTTAGCATCTTGTTAACATTTTGTTAGCATCTTGTTAACATTTTGTTAGCATCTTGATAACATTTTGTTAGCATCTTGTTAACATTTTGTTAGCATCTTGTTAACATTTTGTTAGCATTTTGTTAGCATCTTATTTCATAGATCTTTCAACATTGCGATGTTTAATGGGGAGCATCAAGACTCAACTTTGTGGAACAGGGCAAATAATTGAACTTTGTAAGCCGAGAGCCGTGATGGTCCCTAGTCCCTACTAAACACTACAATAGCATTTCGTTAACATTTTGATGGATATTTTTTGAAGATTTATAGTAGTGACTGAGCTTATCGTAACGTAAAGTTAAATGGCTGAATTAATAGGAAAATGTGGCTGAACCTTTGGCGGGAAATGGTTGAGATATGTCTAGATTTGGTCAAAATGTCTCCGGAGTCCGGATTTTGTCCGGCTTTGGTCAACTTGATGAGTTTTTATTCTCCGACTGGAGGATTGCGGTGAAAAATGAGGAGCTTATTTTTTTTGACTGTGGGTGGTGGGATGGAAAGGCGTGACCATGGCAACGATAAACAATAGGCTCCACTCATAAAGTACGAATTTAGATATCTCTGCAATTAGACAGTGTTGTGTTTGTCGACTCAACTGCAGTGACTTAGAAGGTGTTGGTTCAACGATTCATTATACGTGACTTCGTGCTCAGATTTCAATTACTGGACAAAAAACATATAAAATAGAACAGCTACCGACATATTTAGTCCCACCCGGCATTTTCTTTGATAGCATGAAGTATGTGTTAAAGTATCGTTTAAGTCAATGAAGGGACATGATAATCGGTAAGTGATTGTTACCCGTCAAACAAACTCCAGGTCACAAGCCAAGCCTCTCCGCTCGGGCAATGATTTCGGTATATTCCTAGTTTTATGATTTGGTGCCATACAAGTATCACTTTGCTCATCGATAGCTACACGAACCCTAATTTATGAAATTTGATATTTTAAAAGCACGGAAGTTGAACGGCAATGTGTTCAAAACATGAGGGATAGAATAAAAACACATTAAATTGACGTGATCACCACAGTTTCAAAGGACGGGAAATTTCCTCTTTAATTGTTTCACGGCTCAGCACCCCCCAGCTCAACTCAATTTTAAATCAATTTAACAATGATTTATCTCGCGGTAATTTTGAAATTTCCCATGCTCCACTCTAATCTGCCCGGGGTTACAACCAAACGTATTCTTAATTGATCACTCAATATAAAGAGGTGGTGGTCAAGGCAAGCTGCTACTATCACTTTGCTATTCCTGTCTGTTAAATCTGTGCAAATGATGATGTTTTGAGAACTAAAAAGGACCATTTAATGACCCGTAACTTTGTTTACTCAAGACTGGGAAATTGCAAGGAGTGTTTTACTACGTCGCTTATTGGACGGGAGAATTTTAATGGTCTATTACTTTGGGGCATTTAACTCAATCGTTTCAAACAAAATAGGCGTATAAATATTCAATCTGTAAACTTTAACTTACTTTATAAAGTTTGCACGACATGGGAAAGAAAGGTCCCGCTTTATTGAAAGTTTGCGGCTGATTGAAGTCTCAAAACATGTACGTGTACCAAATCCATTATCCCGTTCATCAAGTGGTCACATTTAATGGATTCCAAGTAGTTACCTTGAACCGGTAAAAATGGATCTTTCCGATTATTCCCGAAGAAGAAATGAACTCTCTCCAAAGAACCACCTACGTGGCAGCTGGTTATTTTGGCTTGGAATTATGATTGCCTGCGTGGCGTATTTGTCTCCGATTATTAGGGCAAGAGATATGGCACTGCGGGTGGAATTTAGGGAAACTCCACTTTCTCCCTAGCTCTACCCCTGTGTTGAGATAAATGCCAATTATTTTGTATTGCTAGGAAATTAGCATTAAAGTTAAAATAATGTCAGACAGTGCTATTATCTCAACGTGACTAACGCCAAAGCGATTACCTTATTAAAGTGCTTATAATCGACTGCTCCTAGCTACTGGCACGCCAATTCAGCACGCCAATCGGTTCCCAGTTCTCGGGCGGGCAGCCAATCAGAGACAAGCATCTTCAGCAGGTGACTCGTTAATCGAGTTGGAGTATCGGTATTTAACTTAGTCTGTGATTATCCCATTACTTTTTCGTTGCCCGTCAATCTTCACAAGTGAGGCGATTGAGACAGTGGTTAATAATTTAATAGTTTAATGCATTAGACCGCATATAGAGCCGGTCTAGCACGGCTAATAAAATGGAAGTCAGCGTTTAGGAAGGGCTACCAGCAGTCAGTTTGCTGCATCTGTCCAATCAGGGTACCTGTGCTCGGTCACGTGGGCCCTATTTCACTTCTTTAAATCAATTTTAAATCCTGTCAAGGCAATTTTAAAAAGCAATCAAGCGGTCAAGACTGGCCGTGGCAAGCGTAGCCAATCGAAGGTATGGCCTGGGGAATCAGTTAACTCGTTTTGTCGATTATGTAATGGGGTAATGGGGTTATTAGATAAGGAGGTAATGGGTCAGGTTTAATGACTGTGATTGGTGTGACTAACTCTGATCTCAAACTTAGACTTATCTAATATTAGAAGATCGCTTGAAGGGTTGTAACTGTCGGCTCTAGCAGGAAATGTATGTAAAAAGCTTTCAGAAAGTTCGAAGGTTTCACCTTGGGTTTTATGAATGATGGTAAGAAAAATTACCTTGTGTTTCGTTAAGATTGAGGAGGAAAGCTGTCTCCCGTCGTTTGTGGGGTGAAAGATAGTGCTGTTGCTGGAACAAGGATTCTAATGCCATCAGTTGGAGTTTTGTGAAGATTGTTCGCACTCGTCGTTGGGAGGTCCCGTTTTTTGTCGTGTAGGGTGTCAGGAGTTCTTGGTACCCTGAGGCAAGAAGTTTTTATAAAAGATGAAATGAATTATAAAAATCATTGGATAAACAATTAACATCTTAAATATTCAAAGTAAATTTTATTTGACAGTTCACTCGTGATCTGTCATCTGATGTTTCGGTGTCCCTAAAATTAATTACACTTGGTAACTTGTTAAAGCATGTACAGATAGATTTCATCAATCAGAAACCTTTTTGAACTATGATGAATTTTAGGATGATCTCATGCTCAATAATTTTGTATCCATATTAATGCTTTTTAAACAAAGTTACAAGTACAACGAATTCTTCATGTAGTGCATCCTGGGTTTGGACAGGATATGCCCACGTTTAAAATATGCCATTTTTATTTATTTTAGGTTATTTTAGTATTCCAATTCTCAATATGGCTAAAATGTTCAAAATCTAGGTTTTATATTGGGTTTATACTCAAACTAAACCCACGATAATTCTTTAGTCTGACCTAGATAACAAGTTATATTTTCTCCATTCGAAGTACCTAAGCTCTATTCTGAATACAATTCTCTATTCTGAATACAATTCTCTATTCTGAATACAATTCTAAGTCGCACATCGCTCGCTTCTCAACTAATCTCAGACTGGCTTCCTCAACTTGTTATTTGCTGGCCCAACGCTTCTAACGAGTTGCTCGACAATGAGAACACATCCGGGGCAAGGTCGCTAATTGACCGAAATCACATAACAGTCCCACGTTTTTGTTCACCTTGCTTATATCCCCCACCATAAAACATCACGTCACGTGTCTTATAATCTCGCTCAGATTGGCCGAACAGTTCTCACTGAGTTTCCCATTGGTTGGTTTTGTTTGGGAGGAAGCTAAGAATCGGTGTGCATACAATCGAATATCGATGATATGATGAGTGGGTGATCCCCCTGTTATAGGAAAGTTAATGGCCTGACCATCGGAGAATTCATTGTGTTGTTGTGATATTAGAAAATGGAGGAGCGGTCATCACTTAAAGAAGCAATTGGAATGGTTAAGGGAGGACGATGATTTAAAAATTGAATTAGACCCGCCAACCCGTTTCGATCGGGTAGTAATAGTGGAGACATTGTCCCGATCATCAAATCGACGAGACCCCAGTTGCAGGAAAGACTCATCCAAGGATCTGCTTATCTTTAGTGACGACTTGACAAACGAAAATTGGAAGACTTTGAAATGAGACATGATGAGCGGCTGGGCTACCGACACATTTCTATAGTCATAAGCGGTCTGGGGGTGAGACAAGCAGAACTGGATCCGGGCTCTTGTATCGGAATCACTGTTACTACCGAGGAAACTAGAGAATTGGCTACTCAAATTGTTACGTCTCGTTTGAGTGGGTACGTTCGTTATATTGAACTTTTGGTCGATGGACTGGTTCAGAGTGGTGATGTTGGTTTCATTATAATTTGGGAATGGGAATGGGAAACAGTTGGCTGGTCTGGAAACTGTTTTGTTGCACAGAGGCTTGTAAATCAAGTCTGATTGAATGGAACATTTGAATACTTAAAATTTTGTTGGATAATAAAGGACAGCTCATAATCTTCAAAGAAACAAAAGGAAACTCCTGTACATACAAGTATGGACATATTTCGAAGATATTTTTAATTTGAAATTGGACACAAATGGCGGAGTTATGGGCCAAAACCTGGTCATGTGGGTAATTATTTTTGTATGTACTGTAAGTAGGTAGGTAGGATTCCCACCTACTGCAAGTACATTGGGTTGATATTGGGCATTTGAACTAGAGTCTAGAGTACAATCAGTAACAATTTGAACAATAAAATGAAAAAATGTCAGTAACAATTCAACTATCAAATGAAAGAATTTCAGTAACAATTTAACTATCAAATGAAAGAATTTCAATAGGTAACAATTACTAATTAGAACTGTGAAATGAGACGACTTACACTTACTTTCAGCATATTTTCCGAAATGTGATTGCAACTGAGCATAGGGAGACAGTCCGAGTGTGTAGAGACTTCCCAGAGCTGAAATGTTATTAAACGTTACTCAACATTTTCTTTATTTAGTTACTTTTTACTTATTATACACAAATTTGTTGGTGAGTGGAAAACTGATCCGGAATCTGGAGTTCGAAGGTTTACTGTTTCTTCTCTTCCATCTTTTCTCGTCCATCGGTTTGCAGTTACCATGGTAACCTCTCTTTCTTTGCTCACCATAGCTCGTTTTAAGTTTCGATGACACAAACTTCTTAAATGAACTTTAAAAAGACAAGAAAATTCCCGCTCCCTTATGGGATGTTCAATATTACACTATCCATTATATGACGTGATATGTTGCACACTGATCACTAGTCAATATTTTATTGTTCATTGTTGGCCTTTATCAGAACAACATCTGCACAACGAATGCTGGTACAAAAGAAGCGATTAGCAATCTGATTTTTTACCTCCTTAAATACCATAGCTTTTGACTTGAACTTGGAATTTGGCTTCGACAAATCATAAGCCAGTTGCGAAGATATTTGAAATCTGGCAGAAGTTCAACTCTAATAGAATCAGAAGTTGATTTTTGTTGATTATTTCATTTTCACGTATCACAATTAATAGATTTAGAGTCCTATTACATGATTTTCAAACACTTCAATAGAATATTTCAATTTTTATCGTTTCAATTACCATAATATGTATATTGTATTTGTATACGTTTCCAGTGCCCATTCAGGTTAAGTATATTGTATTCAGTTTCATTCAATATTAGATCTGACATCACTTTATGCAAGCTCAACTTGATTATTAATCAAACATGAATAAACATGGTAAGTAATTATAGTTACATCGCGAAATATCTCGGTGGTCTTACTCTTAGTCCTCGTGAATACGTAGCTGTGATTTTAGGAAATTGGCAACAGAAACTTATCATAACAAAAGAAATAAAGATCAAAGAGTGAACAAGGCTAACCTGCAGCCTGGGCGGGAGGGAGAGTCTGGGTGGGGAGGAAACTTGATAACCTGGAGGAGAAGCCCGGGGCTATAGAGTCCACGTATCTTGGCAGACTGGCTGTCCAGAGGGGCGGTGTACTTAGACCTGAACAAATTACTTTGGATAAATCTGTGCGTCTCTTTTTCGCCTATTTCCATTTCATCAATACTAAGACAAATATACTGGTGACGAAACTGAACGATTTTAATTGATAGCAGTAAGTACAAGTGACTTAGTTTTTTATAGTAAAAATACTCTTAGTTCTACCTTCTTCACAGAAATAAGGGACTGGAAATATAATGCCTAATAATAAGTACAAATAACACCGAAAAAACTAACCGACAGATATGTTCACTGGAAAACTTGGCGAGTTCTGAGATAGTGATATAGACTTGTCGGGTGAGACCGAGAGATTGTGGGTCCTCTGAAGTTGGGCCACTAGATCCTTCTCCGGCTCTAAGATATCAGATATGTTGAACGAGCGTCTCGCGGTTACCATGGTGAGAATCAATGATTAAGGTCAGGCTGTCGGACAATCGTTAACTACAAAACGTTCAGCAATTTCTGTTGGTACGCGCGCAGTTCCCTTCCTTACAGCGGGGTGACGTGACGTCACGCGCGTCGTCAAGTCACGTGACCCAGATAATCTGTCACGTGGGGCGCCCACCTGACACGCGCTACCAGTAACATACTTAAAATTACTCACGTGATTTACTTTAATTGTAATGACCCTTAAATCTGTTTCAATTGTTACAAAGATAACCGGAACACGGCCCGCTTTTAAAATGAAAATATTTCTATTAGCCTGAGCCCTGCTTTGTTTTTAATTAATTTCCGAATTGGGAGTCATACCATAAAATAGGAATTGAACACGGGCCTGGCTGGAGAGATCCGAGGTCAAAGCAACTCGCTAATTGCTTAATGCAATGATGGGCCGAGTAAAGCGGTTTCCATCATCAAATTACGGTTGTTTGAAACAGTTTACATCGGAATCCTACAATAAGCGTTTCCGATCTTCCACAATCAATTATAAATCCTGTTACAGTATTACACGGAATACCGTGCTTGATGAACTTGAAGAGATGGGAGAATGGGCAAAAATGCGATTTTTGGGGACGATTTAATCTTGAAATTAGTAATTGCCACGATTTGGAGGATTCCAGGTTCACTCTTTCACTCGATATTGTTCTAATTTACCCAGTACTGCCTACCAAATATGTGGCAGACAGAAAAATTCACAAAATAAAATGCTCCAATTATAAATCAAAACACAACAAAATTCATTGTTCATACTACAGAGGGCAATCAAAAAACAAATCTTAAGAAAATCAACCGGTCACAGAAATAATTAGTCCTGCTAAATATCTGTAACACCAGATATTATAATATGTTTCCTTCACAAACTTTACATTTTATTTTTAACCCGATCTAGAAAGTACTTAAATTTAAACGCAAAAAGCAGTTGACTGTGCGAAAAGTGTCATTATTTGTTAAGAAAACTGGAACCTTTAGGTAAATTTACATTTACAGATGCATTGTTGTAATATCAAAGATTTTTAGTAGAAGTGGACTTCATGATTGATGAGGAATGAAAACAGTACAACAAACGTTTCGTGACAAAAATGATAGAAAAAAATAAAACTTTGTTCAAGAAAAACTCAAAGAAAATTGGAAACGTGGAATCTTAACCTCAGTATACAAACAACGCTACCAAACCTTTCAACAAATTTTTCAATTCAAAAGCGCAATTCAAATCTAACCCGACAATTACTAGAACTAGTGTGTTACCATAGTTACACTACTAGTTACCATAGCTACTAGCTTAGTAAATAAAAGATCATGCTTAAAAACTTCAATTTAACTCCAAATTGCTCGAAGGTCATTTGAACATGTCACCACTTCTTCAACAACAACAACTACAGTTCAATTTGTTAAAACGTTCGCCGCGTCCCGTATTGTCCTGCCCGAACATTCAGGTAAGCTATGTGACGTTACAGTAGGAGTAAGAAGGAAAGTTAGCTGACTTGGTTCTGTTGTATGCTTTCTAAAGCCACTACGCCCCTGTTTTCAGGTTTCAGAGACAACGGTGATTTTCTCCACAGCGTGATTTCCTGAGGGTGAGGAAGAGGTTAAGGATAGTTCCGGAACGTTTATGGATTGTGGGCAGAAGATAATGCAAATATTTATTTTGATTAACTTTTTCATGTTATTGAATATACCCATTTTGTAACTGTAAACATAAAATTAGGGGTCGTTCACATATATTACGTAATTAGGGGGGTTCCCAAATCATTATGCTAGTGTAATATTGTATTGGTAAAACTGATAACGGAGCGGGGGTACAAATTATTAAAAAAATTAATAACGTATTATATGTAAACGCCCCTTAGTACGTTATTTCTAGTTAAATTTTCATAATATACGCCCGCTCAGATTGGTGAGCTTGCACTAAAGAATCTGACAAAGAGCTCTACGTTCTTCAATCATTTCGCTACAATTTTTTTCCACCTTTGCATTTATTGTGCGATGACTCGATTTAATGATGTTTTCACTTTTGTCTTCAACTATCGATTAGAAGAGTTGTGTACATGGACACACCATTGCGGCCAACTGATTACTGTAACTTGCACTCCCCACACGACCACAGACCTCAATTTAGGGTGATATCTTGATCAGTCCTCAATTATCTCAACTAACAAGCTATAGATCTTGAAAATTGAGACATTTGTGCGGAGATTAAGAAAATCTAAGGGCTTTTATAAACTATTCACTTGCATGGGGGGGGGGGGGGGGGGGGCACTTGCATGCTTACTTACACTCCCCCTTAAAATATCAGTTAAAATGTTGCTGACAATCAACACTGAACCGCAGCAACCTAATGTTAATGATTATAACTTATTATTTTGCGGTGTATGTTTTTGTCTGTGAAACAATGGTACAGATATATGTGTGATCATGCAAAGTGTTTGTTTTAAGGCCGGGACCCCGATATCTTCAGTGGGTAGATTAAAACAAAGATTGACATTTGTTTCTAAACATGATTTAACCATTTGAGGATGGTGCATTAGGCTACAGTTTGAGTTTGAAAGCCAGAGATCAGAAACACTTTATTGGGCCGCAAAATCTAAACGGAAGGACTGGCCCCCAAATCAAAGGCAAAATTAACATATTTTGTCAATTTTCATGGTTGACCCACCTCCCGTATTGGAGTGCAACGATTTATCTTCATTGTTTATGATGTTAATTTCACTTCTATTTAACGAAACTTTCCAATCAAGCTCACATTATTTATTATCAGAATATATTTACTGGACAAACCATTTTCCCCTTTCCGAAACCCGGACATTTCGCACAATTATTTTTTGCTGTTTTCTTCCGCGGGCTCAATCAGTCTCCACTCTCCAGCACTTAACACCAACGTACGTATCGACATAATTTTTAACCGTGATTCCCAACCGCGGCCGCCCGACATGGCATAGGGTCAAAATGCTTCCCACATCACATATACAGCTCTTGATGATGATTAATCACTCTACACTAAACTGTCACGTGTCTTTTTTAACACTTCCTCTAGGTGGCTCTGAATGACTATTGGAAACCCTAACCTTCTAATCTGATCCCAACCCTAACCCAATCCCTAACTGAAGCATATGCTCAATGCTGAAACCCTAACCCTAACGAGAAATTAGACCAACTTCCTTATATGGTCATATATCGTGATCGATACAGTTTGTCGCCGATATCTCGCTAGGGGAGCATTTTAAACCTATGTCATGTGGGGTGATTCGGAATCAGCGTTCGAAAATACATCGAATCAGGTAGATTTCAACTGTCAGGGGCACTTCAAAAATCTCGAAGATCGACTGTAGAGGGATTTAGCACGCCCGTACAGCTCTACCGTTTTCTGATGAAAGTGCTTGAAAACCACTCAAAATTTCGAGATTTTTAAGTACTTTTGTCACTTTTTTGACCAATTTCGCCATCTTAGAGTTAAGGGTGGCAAAAGGAGGTTTCTGGGGACCGGTGATTGGTTCTGATTGTTTTCAGATCAGGGACACTGATTGACCCAAAAAATAAAATTGGATAACTAGATCAAATATTTCAGAAATGGCCTTTACGCACAGTTGTCAGAAAACAGTAGAACGTGTTGCTACCAGTAGAACGTGTTGCTTACAGTAGAACGTGTTGGGCATAACAAGTTTTAGCTGTTTTTATACCAATTCCAATTTGGTCAATTTATACCAATTGACCAAAATTTGGTAAATTAATAGGCATGGGGTTGCGAAAGAAACTAACAGGGGTATCTATGTATGATGTATCCCTCGACGCCAGTCCACAGTCGAATTCGTCTGGCTAGGTAGTACTTAGTAGGTATCATAGGTATCAGCTTGAACATCCTCTCAAAATACAAAATTTACGTCTGTCGCGTCTAGCGAGGTGCGCGCGTTTGAACATCATGTAGTCAGATCACGCGCCAGTCTATGCGCCAAAATAAATCAACCTTTTACGTTTAAATGTTTTAGCGCTCAACGTCTTATTCGATATCATACTGTGACTGATTGTCCCACGACCGGAACCTTGATCCTGAATCTACTTTAAAGTTGTGGTCAGTGGTGTTGAATTATATTAAAATCGCAACTGAATCAGCGGTCACATTAAATGTTCAATAACTTTCACAGCGGCACGTTAATCGATTACAAGAATTTTAAATCATGAACTTCCAGCTACCTGTTGTTTGAAATATCTTCGATCTTCTTCGTCCACTAGGACTAAATTGAGGTAATATCTGACAGAGAATTTCTTGTTTACATCTTTCATTGTTGGCGTGAGATCGTACGCAGACAAAAACAGTCGGATGGGTATCGATTCACCTGATTGGGGACATACCGTTATTTTCCCTTTACGTCGATCGTAATCTATCTAATACTCCGCCAAATACCACAAGATCCATCATTAAAATTATTTGCCTTAATTACTGCAAATAAATGATTAGAACTGATATCATTATATACTTTTTTATCTTATCTTATGATAAAACTCTTCACCTCTGACTGGGGCACCGTCCATGATCTCATATCTGTTTATCTGCTCATTTTCGTTATACGTGTTTGGACCTAGTTGTTAGTTTAAAAAAACGTATTAATAAGTGATCAGATATTATAGGTAATGCATCTTGGTTACTTATTGAAACAAGGAACAATTTCAAACAGTTGCAGTTTTATCTTAAAAACATGTTTTATCTTAAATATTTTTTAAAAAGTTAGCTGATCGCATCACACACCTGATCCCGTGGTTTCCCTTTTTATTATCGATAATTCCATGTGTTTTATCTTTATTCGCACCAAAATAAAGTAGATTTTACCGACGATCACATCGTTCAAATGATACCTGAAATTGTTACCACACTAAATAAATACCACAACAATTACTGTATGCTATGAAATAAGTTATACAAAATGTTGTACATCTCTCAGTGAACAATGATATCACTGCACAACGATTAGTGCACATTAGATAGTATCACTCGCTACATTCTAGAAGAAATGTTACAATAATGCACTAATTTTCTACTCAGTAATGTTTCCAACTTACTTGCTCCGATTGTATTCGAACTCTATATGCAAGCAATCCTCAATACCGACTTCCATTTTGAGGGAAGAGTTGGTTTCTGGGTAACTAGACAGTTGGTGTACCATCAGCTCCTTCTCATGTATAATGTCAACCAGACGTCGCGAGATTGTTACACGCAGAAAATACCTGGATTGTTTCTAGGTTACACGCAGAAAATACCTGGATTGTTTCTAAGTTACACGCAGAAAATACCTGAATTGTTTCTAGGTTACACGCAGAAAATACCTGGATTGTTTCTAAGTTACACGCAGAAAATACCTGGATTGTTTCTAAGTTACATGCAGAAAATACCTGGATTGTTTCTAGGTTACACGCAGAAAATACCTGGATTGTTTCTAGGTTACACGCAAAAAATACCTGGATTGTTTCTAGGTTACACTCAGAAATACCTGGATTGTTTCTAGGTTACACGCAGAAAATACCTGGATTGTTTCTAGGTTACACGCAGAAAATACCTGGATTGTTTCTAGGTTACACGCAGAAAATACCTGGATTGTTTCTGTATACTTTTCGCAATGAAACCTACTAATTCTCTATTAACATAATCAGGTGTTAGTTACTTTACTTCCACACAATATGGCAATATTTGTTTTCTCATATTCATTTATTCGCGACAAATAGGTCATTTTAGCCGCATTTTAGCTGCATTTCATTCCATTATTTTCATAATTCATAAATATTTAATATGATTTGATTGGTAATTGGCTGGATTGGTAATTTATTTGATTGGCAGTTAACCTTGATTAGTAATTAATTGTGGGGTATATTCTGATTTTGGGTGGGCCCTTGCTTGTACAGGAGTTGCATCTGCACTCGATATCTGTGTTTTGGTGACCCACAAGCCATTTGACTATATACATTTTAAGTATTTTGCATAGTAAACTAGCTTGCAGATCCAAACTTTCTCAGGTATATTTTGTAGTTTAATCCATTGTGTAATTTTTCGATTGATTTAAAAGATTTCAATTTTTTTATTAGGACCACTGCACGCAATAGTGCGACAGTTTCACTGCTAATTATTAATTAACGTCTGAACGATTAACCTCGTGGAGCATTGTGACAGTCATTAAGTTATATTACTTCAAATTGTTTATATAATAGTATAAACACGTAACAGTTATATTCAAGTTATATTTATAGAGTTTATAAACTCTAATATACTTCAGTTTATCGTGACCGTTGCGTTGGGAAACATTAAAGACGTATGAAAACTCTATTTCGTTATCTCACTTGCTTAAAACCAGAAAAGTGAAATCGGACACTACAAAGTCAGTTAGGCTAGAATTACACAAAAATGTTACATCACTCACTTCACTGTTAAAAAGCATCATCAAGCACCTTAACAAATGTATTGAATATTATCTTTAATGATAATCTCAGAATATGTGTCTGTCTGTGTGTGCGTGTGTAATTTACGCTAGTATATATATATACTTTATATATATAAAGTAAGTATTTATATGTTTATGTTATCGTGTAAACCAGCAAACTACTTAAAGTAGAGTGTTAGATAAGAGTAGATAAGAGCAGATAAGAGTAGATAAGAGCAGATAAGAGTAGATAGAGTAGATAAGAGTAGGATTTGAAAAGCCACTGATGTTATCTTCTTCTAATCCAAAGTAAAAATATGTAGATACATCCTTCAAATCATTTCCATCCTGTAGTACAGAGAGGAGATGTACTTTGAGGGTAATGAATGTTGCTTTGAGTAAAATCAGGGACAATGAAGTCCTTGGTGGTATCTATTTATATTTTCTACAGCCAAACATGGTCACAGAGGCAAATGGATGACGCAGTATGTTAATGTTGATAAGTTCGTAGAATAGGTTTGCTCAGGCTCTATCCGCAAAATAGTGGTCTGCGATCTAAAGCAATATCAATACATAAGAGACACTAAGAGATTGAGCTATAACTTTACTGAGACTACTTTAGGATATTGTTTATGTGGTACGAAATTTGGGGATTTTTCAAAAACATCCCCATATTTCAGAATGATGTGCAACATGAATATATATCTCCTAAGGTATAAAACATAAAAGGAGTAACAGTAACCTGAGTCTAACATTGCGCCCAGTGTAGGACTCGTACTGTTTCACCACTTTAAGGAACTCGAAAGGAAACGAACAGGACTCTGTTAAATCCCCCGGTCTGGCCAAGTCCTTGTCCAACTTCACGAACTCGTAGTGGTTACCCCGGTCGTAGTAGATCTCTGGGGAGATAACGTGTTATCTCATACTTCTCTTATCTCCCCTATCAGGAATTTAACTACGCATTTTAAGGCTGAAACAAGAACTTCAAGTAAGAAAATAAGAAACACTTGAAGCTTCACCAGCACTTGTAATTCCTACAAATGGTAACTACTTGGAACTGCGCCAAAGTACCGCGGTTTCTTGACCAATGACGTCAGCTGCAAACTACATTACCGATCACTAACCGATTAAATGTATAAGGGTGATCATAGTGACATGTCATGATTGGTGTTTACACCCTGTACACTGTAGTAATAGTCTACAATTATACTGTTATAGCTATTGGATATTGCTCTTCAATTCTATATTGTTCCATAAGTTCAGCTGTCGCTTTAAACTGTCATCGTGTAAATGGAAGTCTTAGCCCCTATTATATTTCCCTAACAATCCTAGGAACTCTATCTAGATTAGCTCTATGTTTACCTAACAATCCTAGGAACTCTATCTAGATTAGCTTTATGTTTACCTAACAATCCTAGGAACTCTATCTAGATTAGCTCTATGTTTACCTATCTGTCCTAGGAATTCTATCTAGATTAGCTCTATGTTTCCCTAACAATCCTAGGAACTCTATCTCGATTAGCTCTATATTTACCTAACAATCCTAGGAACTCTATCTAGATTAGTTCTATGTTTCCCTAACAATCCTAGGAACTATATCTAGATTAGTTCTATGTTTACCTAACAATCCTAGGAACTCTATCTAGATTAGCTCTATGTTTACCTAACAATCCTAGGAACTCTATCTAGATTAGCTCTATGTTTACCTATAATCTGTCCTAGGAACTCTATCTAGATTAGCTCTATGTTTACCTATCTGTCCTAGGAACTCTATCTAGATTAGCTCTATGTTTACCTATCTGTCCTAGGAACTCTATCTAGATTAGCTCTATGTTTACCTATAATCTGTCCTAGGAACTCTATCTAGATTAGCTCTATGTTTACCTATCTGTCCTAGGAACTCTATCTAGATTAGCTCTATGTTTACCTATCTGTCCTAGGAACTCTATCTAGATTAGCTCTATGTTTACCTATCTGTCCTAGGAACTCTATCTAGATTAGCTCTATGTTTACCTATCTGTCCTAGGAACTCTATCTTGATTAGCTCTATGTTTACCTATCTGTCCTAGGAATTCTATCTAGATTAGCTCTATGTTTCCCTAACAATCCTAGGAACTCTATCTCGATTAGCTCTATATTTACCTAACAATCCTAGGAACTCTATCTAGATTAGTTCTATGTTTACCTAACAATCCTAGGAACTATATCTAGATTAGTTCTATGTTTACCTAACAATCCTAGGAACTCTATCTAGATTAGCTCTATGTTTACCTAACAATCCTAGGAACTCTATCTAGATTAGCTCTATGTTTACCTATCTGTCCTAGGAACTCTATCTAGATTAGCTCTATGTTTACCTATCTGTCCTAGGAACTCTATCTAGATTAGCTCTATGTTTACCTATCTGTCCTAGGAACTCTATCTAGATTAGCTCTATGTTTACCTATCTGTCCTAGGAACTCTATCTAGATTAGCTCTATGTTTACCTATCTGTCCTAGGAACTCTATCTTGATTAGCTCTATGTTTACCTATCTGTCCTAGGAACTCTATCTAGATTAGCTCTGTATTTACCTATCTGTCCTAGTAACTCTATCTTGATTAGCTCTATGTTTACCTATCTGTCCTAGGAACTCTATCTTGATGCCCTGATGTTCCAGTTTCTTGCCCTCCTGTTTGAGTTTGATGGTTACTTTTCCCGAAACGTTATCTCCATCGTAGAAGAGATGTTGGTACTCCTTACCATCGTCCTCGATTAAAACTGGAACTTTAGTTCTTGTTTCCTCGTCTTCTAGAACTATTGAGACTGTCGCTGAGTTACCGTATCCCAACCAGCTCTGTGATGATTTTGCAATTTGTAATTTGTAATTTATACAGACGAATTGGTCGATGATATTTCACAGTTCTGTGTTTTAATATTCAGCAGTAGCCATTGCAATTAACACTTTTTTCTCGTGGCATATTACAGTGTATTATGTACCAAAGCTTAAGGCTTATACTGTTTCTGCTTTCACGTGGTAAGAGCCAACATGGTCATTTCAAATAGTCATAATTATAGATAACAAAATTCAAGGAATGTAACTTACCACCATTACTTGTGCGACTTCAGTATCTGCTAGGCCGATCTACCAAACTTCTGACATTGTCTAAATTATTATTATAGCATTTAGTGTTGTAGCCTATAATAAACAAGTAAAGTGTTTTAATAAGCAAAATAATTCTTATCTGGTGAAATAATTAGTTTTATCATCTGAATTTGTTTCCAATTTGTGTGATATAAATAATTTTTGTATGGTCAATGGGTGACATTTAACTTGGAAGTGCAAGAATTTACATTGTATATTCTATTGTAGTAAATGTGTATAAACATGACTTAATTACTCAAAAAATACAAAGTACAAAAATATAACAACTAACTAAACAACCAAAAAAAACGTAAAAAAACTAATTCAAAAGAGAAAAAAAATACAAAACTAAAACAATAGAAAAGAAACGCAAACAACAAGTTATGGCAACAAGATATATAATGACGACGTCATCAAACAACGCCTAAAACCTCAACCATTAACTTGCAACTGCCTCAGAACATCTCTAGACATGATATCCGCTAGCCTGACCGGCTCAGGAACCCTGTACCTGGAGCACTTCATCACAACATGACATGCAGTTTCCAGTGACACTCTGTGTCCCTGTGACACGTACACAGGTTTAGTTGAGCCAGCTGTTGTTCTAACAGCACACCCTATCACCACATTCTTCACATTCCTTATCTCGAATCTCTCCCCGGGGGAGTTAAGTTTGTCGATAGAACTCTTGTGGTCATCATCTCTGAGGCACCCCTCCATTTGGTACAAGTTTTTAGCGACCCCAATACATGGTATATCACACGTGACCCCCGTTTGGCATGCCAACCCAAACTCTTTCTTGTGCAACCGGCCGTTACCGTCCACTATCAGCACATCTGGGTAGAATCCCGGGAATTGGGTTTTCACTGTTTTGAGGATTTGGGCTATGTGGGGCGTTTCACGGAATGCGAGGTACCCCGGAATGTAGTCACATGTCATTTTTATCATTTCGTTGCGACTGAAAACTGTTTCTAGGGTATCCAAATCGAGGACGGCTAGAGAGATGCACGCGTTGATATTGTCGTTCTTGATGAAGGAGATGTCAATGCCACCTACATACTTGATATCACCATCGTATCTGTCTTTGAATTCCACTCTTTGTTTTAGAATTAACTGATAAGTATCAAAGTATAGTATCTTTATTGATCGTCGGAAGAGAAAGATGAGGGGTAGGAGGAAAATGACAAGAATTTGCCATCCTTCCCAATTATCTAGCATAGGATGCTGAAATACATTGTTTGTTATCTGTATATTGCTAACTATAAACCAGGTAAACTTCATACAGATCAAAATTTTGTCAGAGGGAAGTTATAAACTCAATATTTTTACATGGTCAGGTTTTAAAAGTTCGAAATTTAGCTGTCCTAGAATTACCCGACCCGGAATTCGATGCACAGCATGAATAAAGGACATATTACCAAGGGCAAATAGAAATTTGCGTTAATTAAATTGTATTTAGACTGGTCACTGGTATCTCTAGCAAATCATGGATTATATAAATTAAATATTAATAACATCAATGACAAAGCCTAATGCTGTAACTCTGTAATAAATTGTCAATTATATTAATACGAAATATCATCAATAGTCAACACTTGGTAACTTACGTCTGATCAAATTATAAACAGAGCCGTAATTCAGAATTTTCCAAGAATCATAAATTTCTCTGGACTTCCCACAAAACTGAAAACTGATATCCTAATCCTCCCCGTTATCTTCATCTAAATCTAATATCTGTATCCTACGGCCCTGGGCGGATAAAATAGCTCCTAAGCGTCTGTTCTCCGATATAAATATCTTCTGAGTATCCTGCGGCAATTCCGTTTTAACTATGTCATCCTCAAAACAAATACACACAGTCTGTGTATTGTTAGCTGAGTTGGTGACAAGTATAAAGTCCCGGTCATACCCGAATATTTTAGTTATTCTCTCGGTTATGGTGTGTCTGTTCTGGTTACTGAGCTGGAGACCTTCATCAGATATAGATATCATGGTTATTATATTAGTATCATTGACATACCTTAGGAGTTTTGAATCGCTGGATAGCGTGTACTGATCAGTAATATCAACAGAATGCACTGGGACGTTTAAATCGGGCAGACTAAGTTCAAAACATTTGAGGAGGGACTCAGTGAGAAGTATGTGGGATTGTACCAGAGAAAGTGATGGCTGAACCGTTAGATATGGTTTCTTATCTTTCAACAGAGTCAGTACAGTATCCAGTATTTTGTTGTTGTAGTACTCAGGTGGCACCAGAATGTTCTCCTCAGAAAAGTACTGCCAGACTGTGTCGATGTTGAAGTGGTAGGTGTCCGCACGAGTAGCGAATAAGTTCCCTGTCTTGAGGAACTTCACCACAAGGTTCAGTTCATCTTCAGATATCTTCACTGTGGTACTGTTGCCGTCACTCAGTGAGATGGTGGCTTTCAGCAACCATTTTAAAAATGAACTCAGTTTAGCTTTTGAATGGGAGATACATTGTAGCATTTCCTGAGCTTTGATCATGAGACCCGATAGTTTGTTGATGGAATCTTGCACTGCAATCTCTTTTAAACCCAGCTCTCCATACCTATCATACCAACGTGACATTCCGAGAAGGAACTGCAGATGTGTAGCCAGCGCATAACAACAACACATGAAGTTCTGAGTTATAAGTTTCTCAATCCCCTCATACGATTGCATTGTAGATTGCAATAATTTTGATATTTCCTTCTCTTTCAGGGTGTGCACGAGAAAGTTCTCGAGGTCCATGGACGCAGCCCCAGTAACCAACAGATGAAGGAACTGTTCAGATAAATTACTAGGATGCAGGGACATGTGAAACGCAAACAACTTTTTATTGAACTCAGACAAAACATCATCCCAACAATCTGTCATCGCTTTGAAAGTGGACAAAAGATACTCCGACAAGGTCACAACTTTGCTGTAAATCATAGTCACATCATTAATGTTAGTTGTGTGTCCAGCAAGTATCTCCGTGTTATACACGGTACATTTGGGAGAAGTCTCATCAGTAATAACACACAGGCTCTTCCCATCCTGCGTAATCCCAACAGACTCAACACCCGCAGCAGATACAACGCCCACGTGCATCATGCCCTGCGCGGCTAGTCTCACACACTGCTTCTGCTTATCACAAAGCAACATCACATTCAGATCTGTTTTACTCTCCAGCAGATCTCTGATGGACATTATGTCTGTTTTAACGTCTTCAAGAGCAGGCAGATAGGGTTCAACAGGTCGGAGAAAGTTAACGTTGGAGGTTACAGCTACAGAGGACCATGCCACCACACCGTCCTGCGTGGAGGAGGAATGGAGCAAAGCACCACCCTCTACACTGTACATATTAACAACATCTTTAAAGCTAACAGCCAGTACTTTACCGTCACCCCTCCAAACGAGACCCTGGACCAGTCCTTCAGTGTCCTCCTTCACTGTCCACACCACCTGCCAAGACATGCACGTGCGGACCACAGAGAACTCGCCGTTATCGTACGAGAGAGCCAGGAGATCCATGGTTGGGGACCATGCTGCGTGTTCTATCGGGTTCGCTGAGGTCCGATCTACTTGAAATGTCATGACCTGCTCAGGAGAAACATTAAATACATGTAAATTTTGTGGAATTTTAGAAAGAAACATACTTAAATAAAAAGGAAATTGATGTAAATCGTAAATTAAGAGTACGATATGGAATTTTTTGGAAAGCAAAACGTTCATAAGTTATTTTATTGGGATTTTGCTTCCCAACTTGAGTATAATCCAATTTATGATGTAACCAGGAAAACAAATATTTTATAAACGATAGTGAAGATCTACGTCCTAGAGTCAATTTCTTCCAATATTAGGGTAAGGTATTCGACTTACATTCTTTTAGTAGAAAATATTATATGAAAACTACAAAACATCATCTTTTATCTCGGGGCGAATTGAACTCTAAATCAACTGATCTCAAACATGGGTCTCTTTACTTTCAAACTACCAATACCAAAAATTATTTTAAATAACTGAACTTCCTTGTGTTAAAATGTGCGTGTAACCATGGCATTTCTTACTCCTCTCAAATATGCTACCATGAGCTCACTCCAACATATCATGTGCATCACATATATTAAGATAAACTTTGAAGCTATTTTCCCGGACAAAGATTGTCACAGATGTTGGGATCAACGTTCGATAAGTTCAGTTCTCCGATTTTCTTTTCAAACTCTTCCTCCTCTTTACTGGTGTCGATGTGAAGCTTGCCGTTTTCTTTGATTGGGGTTCTTTGTTCGAGCGCGTTCTTGTGTGAGCGCTTTCCCAGGCACCGCAGATGTTCTCTCGTTGTTTCAACCTGTTCTAGGAGGTTGCCTAGATCTTTCTTCATAGCGTAGGCATCTTCACCGTCTGCATAGTACTGAAATTGGAAACAAGTTCTGTCAAATATCGACTGTTAAAATTGCCACGGTTTATTCTGAAATAATTTAATACAGAGTGGACAAGATAACAAAGTGTGATAATTGAGGACGTGTCACGTGACTCGAGCAAGTAATATTTGTGTATTATCAAAGCTATACAATCAGTACGCATAAGGCACTCCCATTGAACCAGGTAATATATCGTGGCAATTATTTGCAGCTACTAAAATACCACATACCTTAGGCTCAATGTCGTCCACCGCAAACTTCAACACAGTTTTGTACAAAGCCAGAGCAGCTCTGTTACTTTTTCTCACATGGAGAGACACATATTTGGCCCCAAAGTTCTCCACCATAGCCCGAGATGCTTGGTCCATCAGCTTTTTAGCTAGACCCAGTCTCCGGTTAGAGCGCTTCACTGCCAGTGAGGTTATGTGACCGTGGGGGATCTGGAGGTAACCGTTTATCTATTTATTAAGATATACTGCAAGCTACAATACACATGGTACAATATACAAGGTACAATATACAAGGTACAATATACAAGGTACAATATACAAGCTACAATATACAAGGTACAATATACAAGGTACAATATACAAGGTACAATATACAAGGTACAATATACAAGGTACAATATACAAGGTACAATATACAAGGTACAATATACAAGGTACAATATACAAGGTACAATATACAAGGTACAATATACAAGCTACAATATACAAGGTACAATATACAAGGTACAATATACAAGGTACAATATACAAGGTACAATATACAAGGTACAATATACAAGGTACAATATACGAGGTACAATATACAAGGTACAATATACGAGGTACAATATACAAGGTACAATATACAAGGTACAATACACATGGTACAATACATATGGTACAATATACAAGGTACAATATACAAGGTACAATATACAAGGTACAAGGTACAATATACAAGGTACAATATACAAGGTACAATATACAAGGTACAATATACAAGGTACAATATACAAGGTACAATATACAAGGTACAATATACAAGGTACAATATACAAGGTACAAGGTACAATATACAAGGTACAATATACAAGGTACAATATACAAGGTACAATATACAATATACAAGGTACAATATACAAGGTACAATATACAAGGTACAATATACAAGGTACAATATACAAGGTACAATATACAAGGTACAATATACAAGGTACAATATACAAGGTACAATATACAAGGTACAAGGTACAATATACAGGGTACAATATAATACAAGGTACAATATACACACAATATAGACACAATATAGGTTCACTCAACATATTTCCATAATTTGAGTTATTAACTTATTATTAAGTATTACAGGAAAACGATCATTCCAAGATATCTACAGTAGATTTAATAAATTAACACTTTTCTTACATCATCTGGCTCTTCTTCCATTTTGGCGAGCACGTAACCGCATATTTTACCACTTTCATCCACTGCCACGTAACTCAACTGAGGCCAGCTCAGTCCGTGGTAAAAGTAATACCTGAAGTTAATAGGTTATAAAACATTTTACAAATTTTACATATTTTACATAATATATTTTATGTATTTCATAATGCATCATTATTAATGAACCATGGCGGGACTGGAGCATAAGTCAACACAATTGCAATGAGATGGAAGTACACTGAAAGATATTAGTATATAATTTGAAGATAGAGGAGAACAATTTCCCAACTGGATTGGAGTACTCGACCCTTCCATACATAGCAATCATGTAGGCAATGTATCGTTGCAATCATATGGCCCGGTGTAGACCGAATAAATCTTTAATACAGGTTTAGTCATAACAACTATTTTTAAGGGTTAAATACCTTTCATGGAATTAACTGATGGGTTTATAATGTATATATACATAAATACCTCATTTCATTTCATATTTACAAAATCATTGTTCGTTGTTAAACATCGTGATCATTTAATAATAATAATAATAATAGGATTATGGCCACATGGCCATCTCGACAAAACTTGAAACCCAACTGCACTCTACGCTATTGCAGTTCGCACAATATTATCAAAAAGAAAAATGTTCCTATCCGGAACATTTAATGATTAATTATTTTTAGGACATTTAAATGTTTATAAACATTTAAATGATCACGATGTTGAACAACGAACGATGATTTTGTAAATATGAAATGAAATGAGGTATTTATATCCTGCTCCTATGATTAACCAATCAACACAATTCATGGAAGATCGTTAACAATGTCACTTGTTAGATCGGCTGACTGTGAGTGATGTGAACAAATGTGATTAATTAAATTAGATTGTTTCAAATTAATGCCTTACTTCATCTGATAGTTTTCTGGCAAACAGAGAAGGTTGCAATGTTGCATGTTCATAAGGTCTGAGGTGGTGGCACATCTGATATGCATCTTGATCTTATGGGGCTGAGTTGCTAGAAGAACAGGTTTGTTATGAGAACAAAATGGGAACAATCATCGACTCAGCAATATTTATTACAAAACAGCTATTTATATAATATTAGTATGTATCAATGAGGATTAAGATGATTTTAACAAAGGAAATTTAAGAAAGGAAAACATCTCAGAAAGTTACAATTTCAAATCAATAAACCATGATTTATAATCTGTATAAAATCTGTAAACACAAAACATTTGCATAATCTGTAAAAATTAGGTAACCAGTGACTTTAATATGTCATCAGTATTTAAGGAAATAGGAATGAATGTTCCATCTTCTTAAATTAAAGGGTTCAAAACAATAAATTAATATTAGAAATTAAATTATTACCATAAATAATCAATAGAAATCATGTGGATGACTGCAGTGTACAACAATTACGACAAATAACAGCTCTTTTCTTTCAACCCCTCAATAACAAAGTCCGAAAAAATTTGCCCGATAGCTTTTCCTTGGGGATCTGTTTTTAATGAGGCCACACCGCCGCCACCAAGAGCATTGTCTAGGACAAAGTTGAACGCTCCGGTACCAGGTAAGTTGTACTTTGTCACAACCAGATCTTCTCCCAGAAAACTGAGATACTCTTTAACAGCAGCTGAAGTTAACCTGGAATCTAATGCTTTGTATAATGATTTGTTTCTGCAGATGATCCCAAGATTTGCGGAGTTACCTTTGTCACCACTTCTCAGGAAAGCCAACTCTTCCAGTCGGAATGAACATTCCCCCTCATTGACTACATCAATTATTGTCTCAGGCTGGGACTGAGGTTGAACGGGACTGAATTCTGTGTTGGAATTTGTGAATTCAGCATTATCTACAGTTATGTTCACCAAGTCCTTGGGATAAAAAAATGGCTTGTACCTGAGGATAGGAGTGGGTTTAGGTCTTCCTCCAACAAGAGTAGTGAAACCTGGTGCCATGCCTGTACTTGCTCCTGCAATTTCTTTAGCCCACATTTCTAGTGCTGCCTTGTTTTTATGCCTTACGCTAGTCCAAACAACAACTTCTTTAGCACTACTTGACTTGATATCTTTTCCGTAGTTTGAACCACTTCCAAGACATTCAACATTTACTTCCTCAAAACTGCCCATGCCCATTTTAGAAAAGATTTTCTCACATCTCTCGATGGTACTCATTGAATTTAGGTGCCCCTTTTGGGCAGCATTTGGTCCAATCATTGGGGCCATTGATGTAGCTTTGTATCCATCTATGTATGTTGCACTAACTTTGTAAGTCGAAGATGGAGGTTTACCCACTGCACCAGAGACTTCTACTTCATTCTTTGCCACTTCCTTTATTGAAACATTTGCAAAGTCACAATTTACATCAGGTAATGCATAGCACTGAGAGTCTCCTATTTCATAAAGCATTTGTTCAGCAACTGTTCCAAATGAGACAAGACCGCCGGTTTTCACAGGTTTAGTCACTTTAAACACACCATCTGGCTGTACATCAACAATAGGAAATCCAACATTACTATAATCTGGTACCTGGTGCCAATCAGTGAAATTTCCTCCAGTAGACTGAGCACCACATTCAACAATGTGACCAGCAAGGGAACCTTGGGCCAGTTTGTCAAATTCATTCATGTTCCAACCAAACCTATGAATCAGGGGCCCTAAAACAAGAGCAGAATCTACACATCTACCGGTAATTACGATATCAGCACCATTATCCAGAGCTTTGGCAATGGGCTCTGCACCTAAATAACAATTCATAGTATTGTAAGGAATACCTTCAATCTCAGGAAGTTTGATCCCTTGATTGATCAAGTCATCTCCAACAACTGAAGCAACTTTTAAATTCAACCCAAACTGTTGCAAAAGTCCGCCCAACCTTTTAGCACAGGCATCAGGGTTAAGTCCACCAGCATTCACCACCACCTTTATCTTTTTTTCAACAATTTTTGGCCCATTAGGAGCTAAATGCTCAAAGAAATCTGGACAAAAGCCTAGCTCAGGCTTCTTTTTCTTCATTGCAGCAAGAATAGACATAGTGACTTCTGCAAGGTAATCACCAACAAGAAAATCAATGCTCCCTTTATTTACTAACTGTTGAGAAGCAAAAGTACAGGAGTCACCCCAAAATCCAGAAAAGCATCCAATACGGACATTATCAGATGGCGAAGAGGAAAGGAATCGTTTTCTGCTGATTGACTGGGCAAACCATTTTGCACCAGTGAATGGTGATTTTCGTAAGAACATTGTGCTGAAATATTAGTATGTAATACAGATTCAATAAATCTTGCATTTATGCAACAAATAGAAAATAAACATGTCGTGAATATTTTAATCAGTTATGATGTTTTTCTTTCATAATATGTTCTCATTTTAATGAGACAGCTTGGTTTTTATTTTTTCTGTACTCTATTTAGTGTCAATGCAAATGGTTCTACTTACTAAGACCTGCTAAGCTTTTGTCTCAAGTTCGAAACCTGTCGTATTTAATAACCTGTCGTTTTGTAATAACTTTGATGATATTCCTGAACACCAGCTTCTACCATGTCTTGTAGTCAGTCACCTTTTTGAAGTCAGAGAATTGATCAAAGAATCTGGCATCAAAACCTCATCGATTGATCCACTACCTAAAGAACTCTTGTCAGAGCACCTTGAGCTAATCCTCCCTACCCTTTGTGATATTATCAACGTTTCTCTTTCAACCGGAAGTATGGAGGGAATCAAGTTAGCACATCTCACTCCCCTGATCAAAGGAGATTCCCTAGACACTGAGAACTTAAAGAATTATAGACCCATCTCTAATCTTACATTCATCGGTAAACTCATTGAGCGCTTTGTATTAAAATGCCTCAATGAACATCTAGCCAAGAATAATCTCAACATTGACCACCAGTCTGGTTACAAAAAGCATCACAGCACAGAAACACTCCTCATTACCATAGTCAATGACCTCCTCATAGCCACTAATGAAAACACAGCAACAGTTGTAATGCTTTTAGACCTGAGTGCTGCATTCGACACAGTTGACCATTATATCAAATTGATCAATATATTGACGTGTGAGATTGGGATTGCGGGAACAGCCTTGAAATGGTTCGCCAGCTTCATCCGTGGTCGTTGTCAAAAAGTCAAGATAGGTGACCTAGAATCTGAAGAAATTGTAATAAAGTTTGGTGCCCCACAGGGCTCTGTCCTTGGCCCTGTGTTGTTTAATATCTACATATGCTCAATTTACTCTTCTGTAAAATCGAAGCAATTTCTGATCCATGGCTATGCTGATGATCACCAGATCTACAAGTCATTTTCATCTGCTACAGAATATCAAGTCCTCAGCGAAGACCTGCCCTCCTGTTTTAGAGAAATCGAGACCTGGATGACGAACCACTTCCTTCTTCTGAATCCAACTAAAACTGAAATTATAATTTTTGGTTCAAAACGTTTATTGTCAGAATTAGAAATTGGTGGTGTCTTCCTTAAATCTTCTGTCTGTATAAGACTTGTTAACGTTACTAAAAACATTGGCTTTACATTGGATTCCTCTCTGACTCTTAATCCTCAAATAAAGAAGCTTAAAGCTGCAAACTGCCACAAGATGCGGAATATTGCAAAGATGAAACCATTCCTCTCTGAAGATCAAATGCAAATCATCGTACAATCTCTTGTTATTAGTTCCCTTGACTACTGCAATGCACTTTACTATGGTACTAATCATTCTGTTTTGAAACAGCTACAATCTCTGCAAAACAGAGCATGTCGCTTAGTTAAAGGTCTAAAGAGGAGAGAAGAAGTTGAGCCCTACATAAAAGAACTTCATTGGCTTAAGGTACAAGAACATATTGAATTTAAAATACTCCTGCTAACTTTCAAACTGCTCCATGGACTAGCACCTTCATACCTTGTCAAGTACAATCCCAGTGGTGGCAGAGATGTGTCTCTTCATTGCCCTATAAACAGTCCACCAAGAGCATTCTCTTCATCTGCTCCAAGATTATGGAACAACCTTCCTCAAGAAATCAGGAAATGTGTAAACATCAATGACTTTAAGGGAAAACTAAAAGCTCATCTGTTTAGAAAGTCCTTTGATATGTACTGAGTATATAATACATTATCAGAAGATTTTAAAATCTTCATCCTACAGCAGGTCAATTTTACGCTTTAAATTAAATTATTCTAGGCTTCTAATTTTTTTAGGATTTTCGGGCAACATTCAAGATATTATTCTTTTCCGTGTTTCACTGTGTCGGCCAATAAAATTGTAGTGTAGGTCAGAAAAGGAGGCTCTATCCCGGGACACCAACATTTTTTGGGTTGGCACCCAGGAGAAAGCTGCCTTTAAGCAATAAGGAGACACATAATGAATATCTTTGGTTTCATCCTTTTGTGGCAAAGAAGCGTTTTATAAATCTTTATTCCACTGGGAAATATTAATGAATTATTTATAGATAATGTATTAGATTTTATTAATTAATAAAATTGAATTTGATAAATTATTAATGTTGATGGAAAAATATATTTATTTAAATTATTTTTTTATTTAGTGCAATGATATTTTGTAGACACTTGTGATGATGTTATGTCATAATCTTTACTTACTTACTTACTTACTGCCTTATTCTTTGTATTTTGTCTCAAGTATTTTAGCATCTTCTTCCACTCTGTTTATTTCACTGTCTCTAGACTTATATGTTGCCCAGATAATTTGACATGACTGTATTGGATTTTCTGTAACGTCAGTTACTGTTCTGCAGTAAGCTTTTTTAATAATTTTGTATTGAATATTGAAGTATTCAGATTGTTTGTATATTTGGAGTTCTATACGTTCTATACGTATATTCTTAAAGAAATTTTAATATTTTATGATTTTTCATCTTTATTATCTTGTATATCATTTTGTTAGTCTGATGAGTCTCATACATAGATTTCTTGAGGTCATCATCTATGTTTTGTTAGAACCTAACCTTTCTTGGATATCTTCTTGTTAGGTGTATCTGCCTTATTTAGTCAGGATTTCACTTGCAGCTATAAACTTCCGTTTTTACTCCTGTCCAAGGCGAGATGCACGATCTCGACTGTCATTTAGGTATCATTTACAGCTGAGCATGAGCGTTAAATTTAAATTATTTAACCTTTTGGTGCTGTATAAAAATAACATCAATTTATTATTATTATTATTAAGGGGGGGGGGCCAATGGATATTTTTTGTGAAACTTGATTTCGAGATAGCAGTTGACCAACAAACTAAGACCAGTGACCGAACTTTTGAGGGGGTCCCGGACCCCAACCGCCAAACGGTGCGCGCAGGGCAGCCACGCCCATATTTGGTCCAAATTAGGCCCAATTTAGCCAAATACCCTTAACATGCCCAAAACCCAGGTTTATGGTGCTCTACTTGTAGCTAGTGGTATCCTGAACTCGTATATGAAATTTCATCAAGATTGGACAAAAAATGACTGAGTTATGAGCCAAAAACCATATGCCCATATTTGGGCATATGCACCAAATTTGGTAGATTTCGTCCCATAAATTGGTCAAATATCAATATTTTTGAATGAAACTTACTTTATATGAAAGGTAAGCCTAAACTACATATTATCTGTAAGTTATAGCTTTATATCTGTTTAAATGTGGATACTAAGGCAAAAAAACCACAAAAAATGTACTAAATTGCCCATATCTCGGTTCGCGATATTCGCGGAATTGATCTCATTAAAATTGTAACAACTCAATCAGTTTTCAAAATTTTTGCATGAAATTTTCGGAATCGACTCGAAATCGCATTTCCACCTTATTTTAAATACGGATTTTTGATTTAGGCCTCCAAAAAAATTTGGCGGCCAAATTCTGAATTTTTGTGAGATAATTTTGGAATTTGGCCGCCAAATTTTTTTGGAGGCCTAAATCAAAAATCCGTATTTAAAATAAGGTGGAAATGCGATTTCGAGTCGATTCCGAAAATTTCATGCAAAAATTTTGAAAACTGATTGAGTTGTTACAATTTTAATGAGATCAATTCCGCGAATATCGCGAACCGAGATATGGGCAATTTAGTACATTTTTTGTGGTTTTTTTGCCTTAGTATCCACATTTAAACAGATATAAAGCTATAACTTACAGATAATATGTAGTTTAGGCTTACCTTTCATATAAAGTAAGTTTCATTCAAAAATATTGATATTTGACCAATTTATGGGACGAAATCTACCAAATTTGGTGCGTATGCCCAAATATGGGCATATGGTTTTTGGCTCATAACTCAGTCATTTTTTGTCCAATCTTGATGAAATTTCATATACGAGTTCAGGATACCACTAGCTACAAGTAGAGCACCATAAACCTGGGTTTTGGGCATGTTAAGGGTATTTGGCTAAATTGGGCCTAATTTGGACCAAATATGGGCGTGGCTGCCCTGCGCGCACCGTTTGGCGGTTGGGGTCCGGAACCCCCTCAAAAGTTCGGTCACTGGTCTTAGTTTGTTGGTCAACTGCTATCTCGAAATCAAGTTTCACAAAAAAATATCCATTGGCCCCCCCCCCCCCCCCCCCCTTAACTGAAACAAGAACTGAATGGAGCTGACCCATACTCTTATCTACAAGAAGTTTTGATTCCAGCAAAAAGCAGCACGCAAAAATCATTTATTGGGAGAGTTGAATTTCTTTGGGGACAAAATGAATTTCTCTATCATCTAGCCAATTAAATAGATTAGAAACGAATAATAGTTCAAAGGTCTCATATAATATCATTTAGCTATCAACCTCGGATCACAACTTTGGGGATGTCAGAAACAGTATTTCTAAAGCGTATAAAAATATCAAAATATCAAGACTCTGCACACATCTCAGGGAAATGATATCACCTTATAGAGGAAGGATCATGGACCCCGAAATCCACCACTTTTCTGTACTTTCAAAGGTACTATTGAAAGCCAGAAATTTCCCGAAAATCGGGATTGCTGAAAGCATATGGCGCTCATCTTTAAAGGTCCCATTTAGTGTAATAAAGTGTCCGTATCATGCCATGATTAAACTTATAATTGTATGGTTGTACCTGTAGACTGTTTTAGTTGACACTCAAGCCCAGTCCAACAGTGACAATAAAATAATGCCATGATTAAACTTATAATTGTATGGTTGTACCTGTAGACTGTTTTAGTTGACACTCAAGCCCAGTCCAACAGTGACAATAAAATAACGCCTGATGGTGTAGAATCAATTTTAAAATTTGTTACTTTTTCAAAAAATCTAGTTTAAGTAAAACAAAATTTTTTTTAGTATAACAAAATTGTATTTTATACCCACAATCAATTCATATTTAGTATCACAAATATTTAAAGTTAAAATAACCATTCACAGAACACAGAAGTAGTTTTATTGTAACAAAATAATTTGTGATATGTGTGATGTGTAAAAGTGATAAATTAATAAATTAATTTACACTCAAAAAAGTACAAAAAATGCACCATTTTTACTTTGCAACACTGTTGTAGCGCGATGCGTTACTGTGCCGCGCAGCACACTCAATTATGCTTCTCGCTAGATCGGCGAAATGTGTTGACGGATGTTACTCGTTTAAATTTCTTCGAAGTAGCGCGTCCGCTTTCTTCTCGATGGCAATTACCTGAGGACCCCAGGCTATTATGTTCATTAACATAGCCTGGTGAGACTGAACCCTCTAATACGCGCAAGTCTCTCTGACGGGCGCGTTTTTGCGCGTGGAATGCTGAGCGCGCAAAATATATGTTTTGTAATGATAATCGCATATCGGTAGACCTTTTAAAAGCAGTATGTGACAGAGTGGCAACAAGCCGACAAGCGACATGTTGTAAGTTACAAGTGCGGTAGCGTGATACTTTATGAAGTTTCTCATTTGTTTTGGTCAATTTGCAATTGCAATTGCAATCCCGAACTTAGACGGATCAAAGGTTTCATGATGGTTACTATTACTTAATTGTTAATGATCACACGACAACTCGCCTCGCCTAGCATTCCACACCAAAAACGCGACCAATGTCATTCCACCATATTATATATCAATCGTGTTAAAGAACACAAAAGCCGGAGGTCTAAAGGTAAATACAATCAAGTGGAAAAAGGTGGTAGACATATCACAGAATTTATGTCAACTTTCATATTTTAATCATTTTATTACATAATTTAAAGATCATATTCTAATAATTTTATTACATAATTTAAAGAGAACGGTTAATAATGGAGTCATTCGTAAACTATTGACAAATAGCTATTCACGAGAGTGCTCAGTTGTCAGTGCTACAGCCAGTACCATTACCAAATACACAAATCACTCATAATATTTTCAGCTTTAAACTTACCCGGGGACCCCGGGCTTTGTGTTCTCAAACACAGTAGTTATATTAATATTAGATTTTAGTAAATATGCTTGATTCATGACTGATACGTGTATGAAAACCTAAAACGGGGTCCCCAGGTACTCAATCGATTAGATATGTAAAAGATTCCGATACGAGGGATTATCATACCTCATGCTAGGTATGCATTTTCGTATGATACAGAATGACATTAACTGCGGAGCACCGTACTGAGTTTCACAACAAGGTCTACAATAAACTGAAACATTAAACATGTGAAGATGATTGATCACTCAGTACTCGACCAACTGCACGTAGCATACTTTAACACGTACTACTTCAAGTAGTCCTTACAGACTATTAAAAATCTAAACCCAAATTAGAGTGTAGAACGTATGTTGAAAACCCTTACCCGTACGACTACAACAAATTATACCAACATCCTTATTTGGTCATACTATCTGGTCATTATAAAGAGGTTCATAAAAGGAAAACATATCCAAATAATTTTTTATCAATTAAGATAATTTTACGTTCATAAGGCTCAAAGAGTTTGTTGGCCTATTCTTGCTGCAAGGAGAGCTCTTCGCTCTAGAGGTAGGTCTTTATCAAACAAGGATAGTGGGACTGGGACGAGCTTTTCAGTCAGGTCCATGTTTGCCTCTTCAGGACTGCCGTAGTGATGGCTGATACTATGTCCACACTCTTGTACCTTTGAAGACTCTGTAACAAACGGGTGTCGGCGGAGGCTGTAGATTCAAGGAAAGGAGCGCTGAACCAAGCTCTCAAATAAACGAAGACAACAAAGTGAGCCATCTTCTGCACGTTTCTCTTCTTCGTACAGTGAATTGGTATCTAGTTAAGAAAAGCCATCTAGAATGTAGATGGACTTAGCCATCCATCTGGCATGGTGGTCAGCTCCAGGTCTTTGTATCTGGAAGACGTATCCTTTCTTCATATCTATGCTTTCTCTATGGATTAGTTTAGCAAGCTCTAGGAATTCCTTGTAATGTTCTGGGCTGGTTGTTGAGTTGACGGATGTGATTAATAAAGGATAGAATATCTCCTACGTCGTTCCTTTAGCGCGTAGGGATATCGGGAAGGACGATGTTCTGCAGATCGAGATCTACCCAGGAGGTCTTCATGATCTTGAAAAGGGTTACTTCGAGTGATATTGTGTCACCGAACAGTTGCTTGGAGGCAGATCCTCTTACAAGCTCCGCCTCCAGGACGTGATGTCTGCAGGCCATCCAGAGGATCTGTCGATTGAGGACCTGCTGAAGAGAAGTACATGCTCTTTTGTGAACTCCAGTATTGGATGATGTCGTATCAAATCCAACGGCTATTATTTTATCTGCTAGGTCCGGTCGTCGAGAATCTTCTTCACTTTGTCTGCTTCGTCCTAGTCCTTTTAGACTGAAGAGTAACTAGTCGTACAGATTGCGAGTATCTTGTTCTCCTCCTCTTGTACTAGGACCATAGCCAGTCTGTTTACTTAACTAAACCCTCCGAGGTCTGTTTTCGTCAAAATTTATCTGTCTGACATCAGAGGTAAAGTCTCTTTTTATCTTTGCTGCTTACTCTGATCGGACTGTGACAACGTGCAGTGGACTTTGAGAGGGAAAACTGCTTCATATCCCCGTGTCTCCACTGAGCAGTGAGATGCAGTGTCTCCTCAAACCGTCACTGAGGGAAAGAAAATAAGCTACTACGTGTGAAAATGAGGGGAAAATGTTCAACTTCTATCATGAAATTACCAAATTAACAAATCTGATTCATTTTTAATCAAAGATGAATATGCAAGGCGGCTTTTAGTTTTAACAACCAGTGTTTAAGCCAGGAAGGATAGTTTTATTTTAAAATAATGTATACCTGAATTTTAGAGATACAACTGCAGCCAAGACTGATATCAAGACGATTGAACTCCGCAAATTTCTGGCCAGAAATAGATCATCTTTCATTATTGTAGATCACCTCCTGAAAAATAGGTGTGCGTTTAGAAATCTATTTAGAATTTATAAGCTAAGTCTTATAATATTCCAGTTACGTGGGATGAGTTGCATGGGTACAAATTGTCGGAAAAGTGATTGATTACGTAATATAAAGTGGTTTTGTAATATACAAACAAACATAAACACAAATTCATGGGATAAGTGCGTGGCTGTATTAATTGACGTTGAATGATCCATGTTACGTGTCATATGGAATGTGGTTCTAGAATCAGAGACAGTGAGAGTGATATCAGGGTTAGGAAAGGAAGAGCATGGGGAGCATGCCACACTCTCAAAAAACTTTGGAAATCTAACCTTAGAAAGTCTATCAAGACCAGAGTGTTCACAGCACTAGTCGAGTCGGTGCTTCTATACGGTTCTGAGACTTGGACTATGACGAAAAGGCTGGAGAAGATGGTTGCTATACACGAATGTTAAGAATGGCCCTTAACATCAATCAATATCGAGACCATGTCAGCAACCACAGTCTGTACGGTGATCTTCCTAAAGTCAGCTCCAAGATAACCCAACGAAGGCTCAGACTTGCAGGTCATGCTCACCGACATCCGGAGCTGACACTGAACAAACTGATCCTCTGGAAGCCGAGTCATGGGCATACTAACAGGGGGCGACCTTACTTAACACTACTAGATAACCTAAAAGCAGATACTGGGCTGAAATCAGTAGATGAGATAGCTAGACTGATGGAGGACAGAAAGCTGTGGAGAACTGTTGTCAATGGATCTCGGGAATACTACCCGCCTTAAGTCAGTAAGTCAGTATCTTGAAAATTCCCAGCACGTTTGGGATGTAAAATAAACTGTGTCCTTAACAGTGAACATTCTTTTTAAATTTTTGACGGAAATTACCAGTAAGTGAAGAAAAAATAAAACATTGTAACCCAAATATCAACTACCGTCTTCAACCGGCGAAGTTTTCTTTCTCTTAGTAGGGGTGAGCGATTGAAGGGGTGATAGAGGTGGTAGCGTAACTAAGTCTAAAGGGTCGATCACTTTACCGTCTGTACGCGACAATTCACGTAACGTACTTAAATAATAGTTATTGACACGGTATTGTGTCGAATGATTTAGGGACAGTTCACATATTACGTAATTAGGTTATCACTATTGGCCAATTCTAACACCTCCCCACCCCCACTACGTTATCAATTTTACAGATAGTATAGCTATTGTGTCATAATAACACTAGCGTAATCTAAATCATTTGATGATTTGAAACCCCCGCCCTGCCCCATCGGCTGATCGGCACGCCCGGGAGCGCGGTAAAATATAGAAATATATGCTGAAGTGAGTGTGGTTTATATAAAACTTTCGGATACATTTGATGAATGAATTTGTGCGTGACTATAAAATTATGGCATGACTAGAGCCGCGCGCACGTGCCAGCTACCACACATTTGAAACTTATTCTTACAATAACACTAATTACAGTGGAATGTGTAATGTCAAATGGGAGCGGTGTGTACAGAACTGAGTGTAGCCGTGTGTACGGAGGAGCTGTAGGTGACATCTAAGAAGATAATATGCCATTATTCCGTTTTATTAATATTACAGTATTTGGCGACTGGCTGGCCGATGGTGCTGTGTATCTTTTGGAAGGGCAATACAAGGTCAGCAATATAAAGTATATCCCCGGGTCAAAATCGGAAAAAATCCTATATTTTAATATACTTTAATACGGGTAAACCGCCCCTAAAACGTCACCTGTTTTTTGGGCCCAGATTGCCGAGTTAGGGCTAAATTTACAGGGTTCTGAAGTGTCTAGGAATAATATTTAAACCTTTTTCTAGCCTGCCAGGAAGATTTAGAAATTTGAAAATAAAATCAGGTACAATTTTTTTGACGTTGAAATGGAGTCACTTTTAAAACACCACCCCTAAAATGTCAACTCTATATGTGTGATAATTACAAAATATACAGAAGGCCTGATTTATCTTTTGTCACTAGTATTAATTGTTTTGTCTTATTAAAACATTAAGCTACTTGAAAACATTCACTCACTAAAGGAAGTACCTCAAAACCGTAATCATCCCTTAAAATGTCACGTGCACCACCCCTAAAACGTCAGCTAAAACAGGTTGTGTAGCACTCAGAATGTTGCTCAATTATTAATTTTAACCACTTCTGGGAAAAATATAACCTATTTCTGAGAGGTGTCGACCAGAATTTCTCTCTCTGTTGAAAAAAAATGGTGGAATTTAGTCAATTTACTTTTTGCGACATTTTGGGGACTTTTTTTTGAATACCCAGAACTTACGGCAAAACAGTAACTCAGTCAACAAAATTTACACCTGTAGTTAGATTATCTAGTTATAAACTAACAATTGGCACAGAAGAAATGGATTCAATGTGATTTTAACCTTGTGCAAATTGCATGTTTTGATTGCATTTTTTGGGATTTTTAACATCATCCTGCATTTTGGCAATTTTAGTGACCTGTAGTTAACTAAGCCAACCCATTAATCGATCTGACCTTCTCTATAGACTAGATTTGACTGCTTTTAGCAAAATTGAATGTCAAAAACTACGGTTTTTGGTACTTACTAGTTTATGGTAAACCTATGATATGCCCCCTAAAATGTCATTTTTTTTCTCCCCTAAAATGTCAAATTTTTATTTTGTTCGCATGGTGTGCGATAATAGCTCTTGTTTTGGCACTTGTTAATTATTAACATCAACTATTAACGAAATGTGAGTATGCATTGCATCTTAGGAAAAGCCTGAGTAATTTGATCAGGTTAAAATGACATTTTAGGGGGGATAATTAGACATTTTAGGGGATGTTTATTGCAATTAATGGGAAATTGGTAGATCACCGACCGGCTATAAGCCGGTTATAAGCCGGCTATAAACCGGCTTATAGCCGGCTACAATTTTTATAGCCGGCTATAAGCCGGCTTATAGCCGGTTAGTAGCCGCTTACATTTGTTGTTGAGCGACGGCTATTAGCCGGTTATAAGCCGGTCTACTGGAATGATTCTTCGGAATTTCGCTGGATTGTACAACTTTCGTCTTGGTAGATTCCAAACACAAGGAAATTTTCCTTCTGGTTGGTAATATACTCAATGATGGGAGTATAGTGTATTGGCTATGCCCCGCTTACTAGTTTAGCTCTTTCTAGTCCCCTGCTACACGGCATGTAAACAGGGATTGGCTAGTTAGAGGCGGTCCGTGTAGGCCTTACACTGTGCTTTCAGCAGTACTCATAAGCCGGCTATTAGCCGTTTAGGTATCGGCTATAAGAAATTCAGTGAAAACGGCTATTAGCCGGTTATAAGCCGGCTATTAGCCGTTTAGGTATCGAAAGTGGTTATAAGCCGGCTATAAGCCGGTTATAAGATATTAACTCAACTTCATCGTACTGAACGATAGTCAGGAGCCGGCTATAAGAAATTCAGCGAAAACGGCTATTAGCCGGTTATAAGCCGGCTATTAGCCGTTTAGGTATCGAAAGTGGTTATAAGCCGGCTATAAGCCGGCTATAAGATATTAACTTAACTTCATCGTACTGAACTGAGCTAATATCTTATAACCGGCTTATAGCCGGCTTATAACCACTTTCGATACCTAAACGGCTAATAGCCGGCTTATAACCGGCTAATAGCCGTTTTCACTGAATTTCTTATAGCCGGCTCCTGACTATCGTTCAGTACGATGTAGTTGAGTTAATATCTTATAACCGGCTTATAGCCGGCTTATAACCACTTTTAATACCAAAACGGCTAATAGCAGGCTTATAACCGGCTAATAGCCGTCGCTCAACAACAAATGTAAGCGGCTACTAACCGGCTATAAGCCGGCTTATAGCCGGCTATAAAAATTGTAGCCGGCTATAAGCCGGCTTATAGCCGGTTAGTAGCCGGCTTATAGCCGGTCGGTGATCTACCAACTGGCCCAATTAATAAAATAAAACTAATTCCTTGAGCTGCCAAAGCTTTCCAATATTACCATTAGATGCTAAATATGATGTTTAATAGGCTGGTACCTCCATTTTATGGTGCTTGTACTCTCAAAGCCAGAATCTGATAAAATGACATTTTAGGGGGCGGCCAGGTGACATTTTAGGGGAGGGTAGTAATATTGAGTAATGTATAACTTTCCATATCTCCAGTCATATGTACAAAGTTGCTAAAATATGTAAATATCACTATCCTAGACCAAAACCGAGTTAATATTAATGAATTCCAGAGTTATAAAATTGTGCGCTTTTTTTCAAAAGTAAAAAATTCGTACAAAGTGAAAAAAATGCCCTTATGGCATCATTTAGATTCAATTTCAGGATGTGGCAGGGTCTGAATGATATTTTTTTATGTTTAGGAGTTACAAATGATTAGGTAAGATACTTTTTAAGAAGATGGGATCCAATCAAATAAGAGTGGCGTTTTAGGGGTGGGTGACATTTTAGGGGCGGTTTACCCGTATACCTACAATTAGAATATTTATATTCTTCGTTAAGATTTACATGATGAACTATATTTTTCGCTTAGATTCGCAAGATAAGCCTGTTTTAGGACTAGTACATGGATTTACATCCAAATTGGTCAAAAATTGGCTGAGTTATGAGCTTTAAAAAATATGCCCACATCTGGGCATACGATTTTGCCCAAATTTGCTTTTGCCTAAATTCGATCAAACTTCAATATTTTTTAATGAGACTAACTCTATGTGAAAGATATACCTCAGTGTTTGTTGAATATACCTTACTCGGGAATATTATGACTGGAATAAAGTGGTGGGTTTTGGGAAATTCCGCCATATTTTTCCCGGTCATTAATTTTCCCAGTCATAAATTAACCCGCTATAATGTTCCTGAGTAAGGTAAACTAATAGTAATACATTTTGATGCTTGGTGGGTTTTGGAAAATTCCGCCATATTTTTCCCGGTCATTAATTTTCCCAGTCATAAATTAACCCGCTATAATATTCCCGAGTAAGGTAGTGAATTATTAATCAACTATATACAGCAAACACAAGATAATATAAATTAAATCATAAAATCGAGTGGCCGAGTAGTCTCGACTCACCCATAACTTCTCCAAAGGCGTCTATCATGAGCTTTGTACACTAAATCATTAAAATTACTTAAACTAAATCTTTTATTTACAATCACAATAATTTGTTTTGTCATAATGTCTTTTAATAATAAATCAAATAAATTTGAACGAGGTCTGCCCCTCCTTCCTTTGTAGTCAAAACATCCTAAACATGCAAATCTGAAAGATAAGAAGGCGGGAGTGTCATCACCGCTTCTGAGAACGTGCCCAAGCATCTTCCATCTTGCTTTCTTGATCCTTTCAGTAAGGGGTCTGACATTACATCTCTTATATAAATTCTCGTTGCTGATAACCGTAGGCCAATAGGTGTTGATTATCTGTCTCAGATGCTTCCTTTGAAGAACGTCGACAGATGCCATTACGGTTTCAGGAGCAGCCCAGCTGCTACAGTTATACAACAACACTGAAGTGACAAGAGCTTCGTACAGCTTCAGCTTTCTACTCTCACTGATCTGAACAGAGCTATTCAACCAGACTTTCTTGTAGGTGTAGAAGGCAACATTGGCTTTGTTGCGTCTGTTGACAATATCTCTTTCTGAACAGAGCTTTGATCCTAATAGCACTGACTCTCGCCACTCTTCATCTCCTCTAATTTTATTGCCATGGGCATCTAAAGCATCTGTATCTGCCAAATACACTCTTGTAAACACCGTCTTTGATTCGTTAACAAAGAGACTCCAATCCTTTAGTATATCACTGGCAATCTCTAGTATCTTCACCAGGCTCTGACCATCTTCACTCAGAAGCTCAGCATCGTCAGCATAGGCGGACTCTAACGGGAGGCCTCTATCAGAGACTGGGGGGTTCGGTCTAGGAATCGTGACACTGATCACGGCTCTGATGTGATTCAGGGCACCGGCAAGGGTCAATGTAAACACTTTACCTGCCAGACTGTCTCCCTGGTAAGCGCCAATATTAATCACAAATTCACCAGACTCAGATCTGTTGACCGTCACCTTGAGCTTTGTATTTGAGAGGAGGTACTGAACTAGGCGAATGTCGTCTCTAGAGCATCCTGCATCAATGAGGAGGTTGATGATGGTCTGTCTGCGGATAGTATTAAACGCAGCGGTCATGTCAATGTTGATTTTACTATACTCAAACTCGCGCCTGGTAACCACTGATGTCAACATTCAGGTAGTGAATACTAAGTAAAAAGACCTCTATAAAAAAAATTGGGAAAATTGCACATAATATCTCGGTTCGGAATACTAGCCAAAACTATGACTTTATTAAAATTGAAATAACTCTATCAGTTTTCAATATTTTTGCAAGAACTTTTTGGAATCGATTAAGAATTGCATTTCAAGCTTATTGTGCCGGCAAAAATTGTTGATGTAGGCCTCCAAGGAGATATGGGTCAAAATCGGAAAAAATCCTATATTTTAATATACTTTAATATGGTTGCCCCCCCCCCCCCCCCCCCCCCCCCCCCCCCCCCCCCCCCCCCCCCCCCATATTTGAGTGACACACTAACTATGCAGTTTTACCTGTTTAGAGGGGTTTTCAAAGAACGTTTTAGTTCCCAAAGTCCGTCTCAAATACCAAAAGCAAAACTACCAGTACCATTAGCTTTAAACCTGGGATATCACTAATTTTACAAATAATAACATAATATCGAGTATGGAGGCCGGAGGGGTTAGAGGATGGTATTAAACTAAAAGTATAACAGCTAGGCTGTAATAATATCCAAGATAGTCAGAAAATATCGTCTAATCAAGCTAGAAAAGTTTGGTAACTTATCGACTATCGAGTAATCGCACGTACGACAGGTTTCTCGTTTATCTCACCAAAAACTTCAGCAGCTTTTTTTCTCATCGTCAGATTCACTTATTCCATACGTAATGACCCTCCTGCTTCTATATCGTCCTCTTCAGCTTCTGTCTTTACTGCTCTCTCAGCGGCCATCTGTAAATGGGGGGTTGTAAAAAGATAAAAAATGTAGTATACAGTTTTCAGCCAATCAGAATGAATCAAACGGTTTTTCTTTCCAAACTGATCGCTTGTTCAGGTTAGACGATACGAAATTTCAGTGGCCTTTTACTCCCAAGTTATAGACATATTTCATTAAAAACACTGTTTGTGGCTCTCGCAAGCTGATCTGCAAATTTTATAGCAAACTTAATATTGTGATAGTGAATATTTTACCTTGAGCGGGCCCGTCACAGTTGACAAAAAGAAGTATCTCGACGAGGGAGCTGGGAGAGATAGAACTTAGCTAAAATGATAGGGAAAGGGTTAAACAAAGTTTTGAAAACATTAAAAACGAAACAAGCAGCATTAATAACAAACATGATGAGCCATAATCAGAGTAACACACCACGTAACCAATTGCCATGGTTACGCGCAAGTTGAAGTAACACAGTTACGATAAATATTGATATAATTTCATAAATATAGCCGAAAAGACAGACAAGTAAGTATTTTAGTTGAGGTTATGATATGTTAAAGAGTAAAAGGTTTTGCAATTCAGCTGGCTGCCAAAATCAGCGGTCAATCCAAAGATAGATTTTAGTGACGATCGTATAATAAACAACATCGTCACTAAAATCTTATTATATGTAACTACTGACAGTTCTGCCCGACAGTTCCGCCCAATCTAGATCAATTGCTTCCATGGGATGATGCGAAGAATCAAAACAAAGTTTTAAAAACAACCTTTCGTTGGTTGTACGTAAATCCGGACCTCTGTCAAGGAGCTGGTCGGATCCACACTTGCCGGTGAGGAACAATTACTGAAAACTGCCATGATATTTCACTTTCACTGCTTTTTACTAAAAAATGGCTTAATTTGCATGATTTTAATCCCATCCACCCTATTGTTACTAGTAACATAGATTACTATTGAAAATATAGGTAGAGTGAATGGGTTCAGCCACAGACCTCAAATTACATTGCCCGTATGCATGGAAACGAGTCATCTTTAAGCAATTCTAAGTAGTTTTGTATGTATCATCGCGTCTGGATCTGTCAGCATTGATTTACTTTAGCATATGACGTTTATACTTGTCCGGCTAAACACAGCTTTGTATAGATACGATAGGAAGTCTGTCTCATTAGGAAGAACTAATAAGAATTTTTAAGAACTCATGCAGACAATTTTTAGAAGTGCAGCAACGTTGTGTCAAGGTGTGCTACAAATAGAAATTATCATTGTCAGGTATATTACAGCAGCTTCCTGTCTTTTAGCTTTATTTTCTACGAATTGCTACGATGTTGCTAGGGGACCACTAGGGCGTTACAATGGTGTTGCTGTGGCGTTTCTAAGGTACCCTTTAGCTCTGTTTAGACCATAAGTTGCTTTTAAAAGGTCAAATAAATATACTCATGGGTTTACTTTTAGGAAGTTTCTGGAGTCAAAGAAATAACAACACAGATTTTGGCTGAATTTGCTTGAACTTATTCAAAACAATTCACTTCGGCGTCCGGACTCTACGGCTTGAGACTCTCTTAAATGCACTCGCTGTTTACATTTGAAAGTTTGCATGATATTAACGACCCAGGAATATCTATAATGTATAGTACAGTATGACTATCGTTTTCAGATAAGTTCAACCCGCTATGTGTTCAAATCAGTGTTATATTTCATCGGCTGTATCATAGGTCAAGATAAATATTTCTTGATGAGATAAAAGCTTACTTTCGAAGAACATTTCCTGTAACCATGTGCACCCTAATTTGATATGGAATTCTATCTATTTTGATCGAAAATATTAAACAAATATTTCCCGCCGTAGAGTCCTAGTTTCTACTGCGCCGCCGTAGAGTCTTACGTCGTTGAGTCTCACACCCTATAAGAGTACCGGTAACCGGTACCATCGTTTAGATGGATACAGGCACCCTGGGGATCTCCAAATAATATGTAGATGGCTGAAATCATTGGATGATGATTAATAACTCTACACTCGACTGTCACGTGACTTTTTAAACCTGTTCTCTAGGTGGCCATGAATAACCCTATAATCTGATTCCAACCCTAATCCAACCCAATCTCTAACAAAAGCATATGCCAAAACCCTAACCCTTTAGAACGAGATATTTGACCAATTTCCTTATATAATGGACATATCACGTGATCAAGACAGCTATTCGCCAATATCTCGCCAGGGGAGCATTTTAATGTCATGAGGGGTGATTCGGAATCAGCGTTCCAACTGTCGGGGGGGCTTTTTAGAAAAATCTTGAAGGTCGACTGTAGAGTGATTTAGCACGCTCGGCAACCATTCACCCTACATATATTGTCAATAATAATAAACATTCATCAGTAGTTATAGGGTGTAAGAGATCATAATGATACAAATTAAACCATTTTTTGATTAAACAAAGCAAAAAAACGGCCCTTCGTAAACAGGCGGGGAAGTGGGTGATTTGAACAAAGTTACCGTACCATAAGTCGAAAACTAAAAGTGATGGCAAATCCTCGAAAGAGGTGTTTGATCACCAAACACTGTGCAGATATTTGGAAAATATATTATTATTATCTGTATCAGGTATTCTTATAAACCAGAGGGCAATGAGATCTGGCGTCTCTTGATTCTCTATAGCGGTTTTCGACTAATAGTTACTGTTAACAAAGAACAACGAAGAACCACTAAATAACTGAAGTAATGTGCACGCCAGTAAACGATATCCCTCACCTTCTTCCTGGGTCAGGGGTCTGTTGCCATAGCAACGAGGGAAGAAGAGCGGCAGCGGTTAGGGTGGGTTTTGCAATGGTTAATGATGAGCCGCGCGCACATGCCAGCTACCACACATTTGAAACTTATTCTTACAATGACACTAATTACAGTGGAATGTGTAATGTCAAATGGGAGCGGTGTGTACAGAACTGAGTGTAGCCGTGTGTACGGAGGAGCTGTAGGTGACATCTAAGAAGATAATATGCCATTATTCCGTTTTATTAATATTACAGTATTTGGCGACTGGCTGGCCGATGGTGCTGTGTATCTTTTGGAAGGGCAATACAAGGTCAGCAATATAACTTAAGGTACGGTAGCCTACCAAGCCTGTCAAACAAGTAACGAAGCAGGAGATTAGAAATGGCGGGACACTGCATTAAACATCCTGAGCTACTTGCCAGTGACTTAGTGCAGTATTATGGGATCTTAACATAGGATATTAATATATAACGACCCGGGAATATCTATAATGTATAGTACAGTATAACTATCGTTTTCAGATAAGTTCAACCCGCTATGTGTTCAAATCAGTGTTTCATTTCATCGGCTGTATCATAGGTCAAGATAAATATTTCTTGATGTGATAAAAGCTTACTTTCGAAGAACATTTCCTGTAACCATGGGCACCCTAATTTGATATGGAATTCTATCTATTTTGATCGAAAATATTAAACAAATATTTCCCGCCGTATAGTCCTAGTTTCTACTGCGCCGCCGTAGAGTCTTACGTCGTTGAGTCTCACACCTTATAAGAGTACCGGTAACCGGTACCATCGTTTAGATGGATACAGGCACCCTGGGGATCTCCAAATAATATGTAGATGGCTGAAATCATTGGATGATGATTAATCACTCTACACTCGACTGTCACGTGACTTTTTAAACCTGTTCTCTATAGGTGGCCATGAATAACCCTATAATCTGATTCCAACCCTAATCCAACCCAATCTCTAACAAAAGCATATGCCAAAACCCTAACCCTTTAGAACGAGATATTTGACCAATTCCCTTATATAATGGACATATCACGTGATCAAGACAGCTATTCGCCAATATCTCGCCAGGGGAGCATTTTAATGTCATGAGGGGGGATTCGGAATCAGCGTTCCAACTGTCGGGGGGGCTTTTTAGAAAAATCTTGAAGGTCGACTGTAGAGTGATTTAGCACGCTCGGCAACCATTCACCCTACATATATTGTCAATAATAATAAACATTCATCAGTAGTTATAGGGTGTAAGAGATCATAATGATCTCTCTCTCTCTCTGTTCTGGTCAACGGTTTCTGGCCTCTTACTAAAAGATGGAGGCCTTCTCACCGTGCCCACAGAATGCAACTCCTGCTAGCTGCACGCCAGGACTCCCAAAGTATATACGAAATCATAAAATAATAAATATC